TGAAGGCAGAATGAGTATTAATTTGAAGCTCACAAACTTTCATAATACAATGAAAACTATTTTGGTTCTTAGATAGTTCTTTAGATAGTTCATTACCATTGTAGGACTCCTGCTATGTAAATCGCAAATTTATAGTCCTGTGACTATTTTAAAACTTCATGCATAGGAGTTGACCATGGTTTTGGTTGTCTCCTAAAGCCTGGGCAATTGCATCTACTTCTATCTCTGAAAAAACCCAAAGGGGAGCTGCGGAAATGTGCACGGGAACCCTTGCACACAAAGGTGCACGAGCGCCCTATGGCCAGAGGTCATACGATCAGAGAGGTCAGAGGGAACTCCAGGGCAGAGCAAGGAAGTGCACTAAGACTCATCAGTAAAAACAACAATTAACAGTTACAAATTAGAACTGAGAGCGGGGTTGCTCAAAATCTGGTTTTACTGTTTCCTATGAAGTAACAAAGAAGGTGTCAGGTTATCTAACATCTCTGATCTTGTAGGTGTGAGGGCAGATGCATCCTGAATTGGGTCCTCTTAGGAAAACAAGACAAAGAACTCATCAGAAAGACAGCACAACCTCTGACCTCTCAAAAACAGAACGATGGTAAGGATCCCAGGGTGTCCAGGTAGTGCGCTGGCAGTAACCCAGGGACTGAAGACACAGATGGGAGGGTGGCAGGCCATGCCAGTGCAGATCGGGACACATTCTCAGAGGACTCAAGACCCACTCCGGAATTCTGCACACAAGTAATTTTTTTTTTTGATCTGGAAAATTTTATTAAGCAATAGCTGGACAACTTTTACAACTTCAAATCATCAAGAAAAAAAAAATAAGAGATTAATCCATCTCAATAATAAAGACAGAAAATAATTTGGACCAACCACGTCATTTTGAATGCAAACCATGAATGCCTTCTAGAATACCCCCCACACAATCTAATATACAAAGTACATCAGCAGAGAGCCAAATAAAGGGTGAGCTCATTAGAGTGCAAGTGGGACTCTCAGCAGATCTTGCTTGGAAAGTCAAACAAAGCAGGATGCTGGAATTGAGAAACAAAGCAACACGGGTGGGACGGAGGTGCACACAGCAGCGTGCTATCCCCAAGGTTTGGCTAAGAACATGCTGGTGGTCTGGTTTGGTCAGGGACCTGTGCACCTGAACTGTGCACTTACAGTTTAAAAAAAAAAAAAAGAAAAGAAAAGAAAAAGAAAATGCCAGTAGTAATAAACTCAGAAATTATGTTCAAATTTACAGTACCAAAATAATGCATTTATAAACAAATGCGAAAACAATACCCCTTTGGTAAATAATACAGTGCCTTTTTCAGTCAAACGCATAACCCATGCTTCTCTACAACATGAAAAAAAATTTATCTACAACAAACAACAGGATCTTAGAAACCTACCCCCTCCCCTTTAAAAGAACTTGTAAACGGGAAATATTGGTACAAGTTACAAGAAAATTGCACAAAGCCAAAGAAATGAAAATAAAATTAGCCACAACTTTTCAGAGTTTCCATCAGCCGCAGCGATGGGAATACACAGATGGTGACGAGATCTGAGTTGTGTGCGATGACGAAATCCCAGGAACTCAAAGAACAGTTTTGACATATTTTGTCTCAACTAACTTCGTTCACAACTACTGACCTGGCCAAGGGATAGATGGCCCACACAGGGACACGATGGGTTCCTTTCAAAAAATCTTTTCAACTTGCAGATAGCGAACACTGCAGAAGTAACTCAAGAATTCACACCTGCTGGGCACAGACTCCTTGGTTCTTTTCTCAACCCACTCTACAGTTTGCGGGGGTAAATGGGGACTTACTCAGGGGCTGTTCTCCAGGGAGTCCACCGAGCAGGGCACACGCATGTGGAGTCTCCTGTGTCTTACCTGACTGAAACCGGTACTTTTGTGTGATTTTTAGGAGAACAAACACCATTCCAAAAGCATTTGTTTCTAGAGGTGAACCTGCTAAGGCTTATTTTAAATGCACAGGTTCATATTCATGGGAGAGCTCGTTAATGCTGGAAAAGCAATGCTTCTCTATAAATAAAGGCAATGATTTTGAAACATACCTTCCCAGTTCGTACAGTGGCATGAGGAGACGGTCCCACTTTGAGACCTCAGGCTGTTAGAGCTGGACAGGAATGGAGAATTTTGTGCAGGCCAGGTCGTCCCTGTCATGTTACAGATGGACAAATGGAAGCCCGAGGTCACCCTCCAACTTGGTGGCTTGACCCCAGGTTCAAGAGAATTACAAGATGAACGTACAGGTTTTTGCCCGTCCTCACAGGACACTCCACCGGGGAGCGATGGACACGGGAAAAAGACTAACCTGCAAAATCCTGACTTCCGCGGCCGTCAGAGCCTTGGCGTTTTCCTGCTTCCGTGGCATCGGTTTCTCTTAGGCTATCCACTCAGTGGATATGCTGTCCGCAAATCTGCACCTTTGGTTTGATGAGGTTAGAGTGGAAACAAACTTAAAATTGGTTTTTATGTTTGTTAATACACTGCTTCCTTCAAAAAGGCAAGGATTCTTTAAGTAGTTGATGGGGCTGATGGTTTTAAATTTAGAGATTCAATGAGGTATCTCAATATTCATAAGTTGCTATTAATAAATATGAAGTATGTAGAATTCTGCTGTTTAAAGCACTTTAGTAGTATTTAATACATCGAGACTGAATAAAAATGACTTTTTAAAGTAAGTGAAGCCATCGCCATCAACTTGAAAGATACTACATCACGAGTGCGCAGACCCATGGAAGTATGAGGTGTGTGGGCCTGTTTCCCTCCTTTGGGCCAGAGCACAGGGCTGGGCAACCGCTGCCCTCGGGTATGCAGACCTCCAGGACCAGGCCTCTGTCTCCACGTGCGGAAGAGGCCTTTTGGGGAATGAGCTCAGAATTTAGAAAGTTGAATTATTTGCTACAAATACTTTCTTTTCACAAATATATCTGCAGTTTTTATGCCAAGGATTTCCCCCTCTACCTACTCTTAGCAATAAGAAAAACTCTAAAATGTATTTTTTCATGGTCTCTGTATCTTAAGAACCAATCTGAGAATCTGGAAAGCAGACACTTACTGACAATAGTGTCTTCCTTTGCTGCTTTCATTCCTCTTTACATTTCATAGCACCTTTTATTTTTAACTAAAAATAAAATGTTCAAAAGAGGGGGCACTATTATTTTAGGATGTGTTGTCTCAAAGAAATCGACTCTTCTGTATATAATCAATACCAAAGAATGCAAAAAAAAAAATGCCTTTAAAGGATTAATAGGATTTTTTTCCCAATTAGAAAAGTTACAAATTGTCCAGCAGAAAAAACCTTCTATCATATCCTCTTTATTTCTCGCAGCAAAATACGCTGCTACCAAATAACTCGTTACAAACACACTATTTTTCTAAATAAATAAAATGGGCATAACTCACCAGTACATAGTAACAAAAGAATTCCTAAGAACACTATTAAAGCAAGATAAATAATCTCTTGGACAACAAAACAGGGGAACTGCATTTAAATTATTTTAGAAATAGGTCATAACCATTATTGCACAACTAATAATAAGCATTGAAACATCTTACCAAGCTACAGAAACTCCTATAAAAGAATTATATAATTCTGAATACACTGCTAAATTCTTTCTCAAAGAATTGACCCACAAAAAATCAGGTTCAATATTTTAAAATACAAGATGGAAAACTCGGATGTTAGGTGGCAGCTGTCCTCATCTGTGTTTCTTCAGGGTTTGGAGAGAATGGTGAGTGATGCTGTCTTGCTGTGGGGAAGGAATGGGCTGGTTTCTTTTCTAGTTTTTAAACCAAAAGAAGGAATGTAAAAATACATACTTTCAAAAGACTTCTCTACAGTGTCTCTCATTTGTCTGCTCCAAACAAAATCCAAACGGAGGACTCCCTGCCAGTAGACAGTCCCATGCTCCTGCCCTAAAGACATCACATGTTTGAGTAACTGACAACCATGAATCGGGTTTGTTACCGGGGCTCAGTGCTGCCCGCGGTGTCCCCTAAGGAGGAGGCGGAGGGAAAAGATCATCTTGGATTTTTCTTTCTTTTTTCTTTTTTGTAATTAACCAGCTGTCTTAAGGACTATAATTTTAATAATGTGTTCCCAGTGGTTCATCTCCTCAGTAAACAGTCTATACAATTAATAAAGAACTTTTTTTTTCCCTCCCAGTACAATTGTGGGACTTGTTTCAAAGAGATAACTATACCTCTTTTAACACCCTGGCAAATGCCTACGGTTTTGTTACATTTCTAACCTATCAGGAAACATCTCTAGTCAACTGGGTTTTAACGTGGCTGAGAAGAAAGGCGCGCTTTCAGACCAATGTCAGCATCTCCGGAAAGAGAAGGTGCGGCAGCTTATCTAGCGGGAAGGAGAACGTCTTCGGCCACGCTTTCCAGACTAAACAACAGAGGGGCGGAGGCGGCAAAGGTGGCTTTTCAGCAGGTGAGTACCTAGTGGTCGCCCAAGGCTAGGCGGCCAGGCGGCCACCCCACGACACGCCAGGACTGATCTGTTTTGTCCCTCCCTTCTCCGAAAGACAAGCCTCCCTGAACCGGTGGGATTCTGCCATGTTCTAAGATGAAACGGGTGGGGGCTCTGGTGGGAACAGCCTCCGAGAGGAGCCGAGCCCGTGTACCATTCCGGGTCCCGCTGGCTGGGCCCCTCGCGGACGCCCCCTCCGCGCTTACCCCTGCGAAGGGCAGCGCCGCGCAGCCCACTCCTGGGAGCCCCACAGCGCGGCCTCCGTAAACCCTACCGCCACCAAGTCGCCCCTGGGGAAGTAACAGGACGGGTGTGGATTCAACGCCCCCTCCAAGAACCTGGACCCTCAGGACTTTTGGTTCTTTTTACAAAGCGTTTTGTTTCCACACGAGTGGTTATGGTACGAAGGCGTCACAGAGCGAGACGCGTGGAGCACGGAGATCTGCGGGCGGGCGGTGTCCCTTCCTCCCGGGGCCCCCCCATCCTGGCGCGGACAGAAGCAGACGCAGCAGGACATCCCCACAGCAACTGTGTTTCCTAAAGGAACACCAGGTGCCTCACACCCTCTGCTTGCAAATCCCATTCTTCCCGTATTCTTTTTGTTTGAAAAGAAAGAAGAAAGAGAAACAATAAAGGATTATAAAAGGCCAAACAAATGACAACAATTAAAGGTCAGTCCCTTCTCCTGGGCCTGACAGATTCTTCCAGTTTTGCTCTTGTCTTCTGGTCCCAGACTCCGGGGCCCCCGGCGACATCTCGAGCGAGTGGCGCCGCGAGGAGGCCTCTCCGTCCGCCCCACACCAGTGTCCTCACTTCAGGCGCTGAGTCACGTTGGCCAGGGCCACGGCAAAGGCCTGCACAGCCGAGAAGGGGTACTGGAAGTCCAGAATGTATGCGTTGCCGTCAATCCTTCCAAACTGCATCACCTGGAGTCGGGTGGAGCAGGCAGAGAAGCAGAGACATGAAGAGAGCATGAGGTGGGAAACAACCACATCCACACGGCTCCCGAGGGAAGGGGACGGCCAATCCGGGAGGCCGGTGTGCCGACCGGAAAGACTCTGACCAAGCTTCTCCATCTCACCGCGAGTTTGTCAGAAAGAAAGCGGGCGAGGGAACATGTCAAACGTGCAAGTGGGAAGATAACGAGAAAAATTCGGAGCGTGGAAAGCTCCGCAGCTCAAATAAAGCGGTTTCCTCACCAAGGAAGCAGAAAGGAGAACGGACAAGTTGAAGAATCTATAGGCTAGTAAAGGGTTAAGAGACACATCAATCCTCACGGTGGAATGTCACTGCTCAGAGAGGGATAAAAAACACAGTCACCTCCCTCCCCTGGTGCTCCTCTCCTAAGCTCCCTTTCCTTTGTCCTTTCAGTGCTTACTGGCCCGCATCCTATCCCTGCACAACATGCATCCGTGTGTGTTCATGCTCTTTCTTCCATTGCTGCTCCACTCCAGGAGCACAGGGACTTTCCCTGTTTTCCCCACGGCTCTAGCTTCAGTGCCTGGAGCAAGCCCGGCAAGCTCTCTGTGAAGGGCTGATGATGAGGGTTTTAGGCTTTATGGGTCACAGGGTCTTTGCCACAGCTCTAACCCCGCCGCAGGACGAAAACAGCCTCAGCCAATGTTCAGCAGACGCCCACGGCTGCATTCCAATAAAACTTTATAAAAAAGGGCAGCGGGATGGACTGGTCTGTGGGCCACCAACTGCTGACTCCTGGCACAGAGGACTGCCAGGCAGATGCTCACTAAATATTTGTTGAGTGAATTAATGAACATGAGATTTAAACATGCAGGGTGACAGCAATTCCCAGGATGGTAAGATGTGCACGCAGAACGACAGTGACACGGCACCGTGAGAGCTACCGTTTCGGGCTGCGGCAGGAGCCAGTGACAAGTCACCCCGTGTGTCATGTACCTTACGCCAGAGAATCAGGGAAGGACTCAGTCATAAATACACTGGAAGAGGCAAACCCACATTGGCTAATTATTATGTCTAGGGAAAGAAAAACTGTACAGGAAAAAGGAAATATAATTAAGCCGTCATCTGTGGCTCAGCTGTAAATCACGTACGCGGGCATAATGACCCCCACTGAGGACGTTGAGTAAGAACAGGGGAAGTTCCTGTGTGCGGACATGGCAGTGGGGCGATCCGAACCAACCCTCCTACCCCTCAGGGACAAGTCGATACATGATGTGAAAAACTGAAAAATCAATACACAGAAGTGGGAACACGTTGTCAACGACCAGAAGCAATGGAGCTGGAAGAACGTGTGTCCCGGAGGAGAATGGAGTTTGGGAGGGGGCCCGCGTGCTGGGCAGGGAGGGGCCCGCTAGTTTTCCTCCTGGATCTCACAGAATCATCTGACTTTGAAAAATCAGTACATGTGCTGCTTTGACAATAAGTAAAAAAAAAAAAAAAAAAAAGCCAGCAACGGCACCCCGTAAAGTACAACCACGATCGGCCCCACTTGAGAGCCACCGTTGTGTTCTGCATTTCTCCAGGGGCTCCTGCAGGCGGAAGCAGGGCCATCCTTCAGCAGGTTTTCAGCCCCGCGCCCCACCCGACTGCTCAAGACCAGAATGCAGCGGTCCCTGCCATGGCCCCAGGCATGCTTGCTTACCTGCCGCCCCTCCAGCTCGATCTGGAAGTTCTTGGCCGACTCCTGGGTCACCCGTCCCCCGAAGTCCAGCTGGTACACCTGGGTGGCTTCGTTCCACAGAGGCTGCTTGTTGGCCATGACATACACGAAGCCCTGGCTGCCCAGCCGCCCGTCCTCCTTCTCGCTGGCTTTCCGGCACTTGAACTCCTCCAGCTCGCTGGCCGTCCTCAGGCTCCGCTTGCTTTTCCAGCCCTTCTTGCTGCCCTGGCTCTGGTTCATCAGCTCATCCCCGCTGATGAACAGCTCGGGCTCGCTCTCCGAGCTGTCCTGGAACTCATTCGTCTTGTTCAACTTCTTGGACTTCAGTTGGTCTTTCTGACTCTTCACTTTCTTCTTCTCTCTCCCCAGGCGGGGGCTGGAGATCAGGGAATTAAAGTCACTCAGAGTCCGCGCCTCCTTCTTCACTTTGCCCTCCGTGATGGCCTGAACGTTTCCTTCCTCCGCTCGGCTGTCCAGGCGCTTCCGGTTCTTCTTCCCGAATTTCTCTGTCCGCTGGGGGACCGGGCTTTCTGTCAGGGAGAGGACTTCTTGGAAGTTGTCTGTGGTCTCTACCATCACCTCGGTACCCAAGTGGCTTTGGAGGTCAGTGGGCGGTGGCGACACGAGGGGCTTCTCTATCACCAGGTGTGCCTTGGGGGGCAGAGCGCCCTGGGGGTTTTGCACGGGCGGGCAAGGGCTATAGGAACTCCAGGGGTGCAAGGCGATAGGCGGCAGCTGTAAACTCGAGCAGGTGCTGCTTCCCGGATACATGGGGGGCAGGGCGCAGTAGGAGAGGCTGGGTGGGTAGGTGGGCTGCAGAACCACTGCCGACTCCTGTGGTGCGAACGGCGTGGGGCACAGGGCATCTTTTGGGGAGCAGGGAGCCTGCACTCCCGGCAAAGGGGGTGTGTTATAGCTTCCTGGATACGGCATTCCCATCCCGTAGCCTGTGTGGAAAGTGGCAGTAGGACTGGCGGGAGACTTGGGGGAGACAAAGGGCACGCGGGACACATCCAGGTGCTGGCTCTGACCTACAATAAGGGGGGGCAGTTTCAGGGGATTGGGCACTGCAGTCTGTGCTGTCCTTTCCTGAGGAACCCAAATGTCCTCCCCCAGCACAGGGTCCCACTGGTAAGGTGGTGGCCGTTTTCCGGCCACAGCAGCTTCGGGCAGCGCGGGGTGCCTCAGGGGCTTCTCCACCTGACAGTGCTGGGCCAGCGCCTCGTCCTCAGTGAAGGCCGAGTTAACATAGTCGGCGCGGTCGCGGGCCCCATCTGGCGGGCTCAGGAGGCTGTAGGACGACTGGGAGGTCAGCGGGGAGGTGCTGGCAGCGTGCGCCAGGCCTGATCCCGGCTGTGCGCCCCCTGCACCCCCGGCGCCCGGCTCGGGCCGCCCAGCAGCACCCCCGCCGCTGCACTGGCTGCAGGTATACAGGGCCGGCGGGGGCCGCGATGGGAACTGCACGGCGCCCTTGGGCTTGGGCGGGTGCTGCGGTGGGGCCCTCGGGGGCTCGGCCGGCTGCGCCGCCTTGAGCGCCACCTCGCGGTTGTTCCTGCGCAGCGTGGCGTGGATGAGACTGTCGGGCCTCTGGGCAGCGCCCCGGCCGGGCACCAGCGGGCCGGCGATTTCGGGGTATGGGGGTGGGTCTCCGGTTGGGATGGAGTAGCGGGGGACCGTCAGGCGGTTCAGGGTCGCACTGGTGCAGGGCTGGGGGACCTTCTTCTCCGTGGCGGTGAGCCTCAGGGTGGCCGAGCTGCCCGGGCCTGGGAGGGTGTAGGTGTTCTGGGAGCAGAGCATCCGCGTTCGCGGCCGGCACACCTCCTCCACGTTGCCGCTGCTGTCGAAGGTGGTGATCCTCTCGTAGCCCAGGGGCGTCTGGTAATGGGCCGCTGTGGGGTACAGGGAGAAGTCGCCCTTCTTCAGGCACGTATCCACCGGAGGTTGCGGGGGCGGCAGCGGGGGCGGCGGTGCTGCGGTAGTGGGGGCTGCGGGGATGGTTCCGGGGTAGGGGGGTGGTGGGTTCATCTTCGCCACCTGGACCTCCTGTGGGGCACTGAACACCACTGCGTCCCCTTCCGCGGCCAGCTGCGCCACTGGCCGCAGGGCCTTGGCGGACTTCTGTAGGTGGTCATGATCTCGGTCTCCATGGTCCACCGACAGCTGGATGGCTCCCTGGGTGGGCGGCGGCAGGGACAGCTGAGCAGGGCTGGGGACGATGCGGCCCATCTCCACACCTCCGAAGATCACCTGTCCGGGGCTGGAGTAGCGGTTGGAGACGGGGTACTGGGTGGCACTGTCACTTCCGTGCTCAGATGTCCCCACTGCCGTGGTCTGATTGGTCAGGACGTCCAGCTGCACATTCTGATTGGCCAGCAGGGACTGCACCAAGCCTATGCTCTGAGTAGGGGACATCGCCTGTGCCGAGCTGTGAATGGGCGCAATGGGGATGTTCACCGTGCACGGGGGGTTGTTCTCAGGCACACCAGATGCTCCTGTCACTGGAAGGAAAAGGGAAAAAATGAAATGCTTCCAAAACAGTGCTGTGAAACTGGATCAGAATAAGTAACACAACAACTAATCAACTCATCCAGTCCTTCTGCATACAAAATGCAATTGCTACGGAGGGAGAGAAGTTTGCTTGGGGAAAAGCTCGACCTTTCACACAAGTTCTACAGACTTTCTCTAAGGTTTCTGGAAGGACACAGGCAAAGATTTCCAATGAATATACTTTTGAACCTTCTGAACTTGGTACCTAAATGGTACCAGGGCACATACTTACCTGTTTTTTAAAAATTTTATTTATTTTTATTTTTTAATACTTAACTGTTTAAAAAGATGCTTTTTACTCATGAATTCATAAAATGGCCCACTCTTTTATGCAAGAAGAGAATTATGATATGTAGCATGACACTCCACGGGGCACTCATAATGCCTAGGGTCCGGGGTAGGTTTACCCACAATTACAGACTGGTTAATATGGGAAGTGTTAAGCAGCAGATGTACATGTGAAATTTGTACACAAGTTAAGTTTCTGTAAATAGAACCATGTAAAAGGCAGTAGAGATACCAAAAAAAAAAAAAAAAAAGAATCTTCTAGCAAATAAGCATTATTCGGGAAGGATCATTTCCTAATTTATGTGCTGTTCAGCATTTCTAACAGTGTGTAAGGTACAGCCCCCCTCTGTAAAATCCTGTAACTATAGTCTATCTGTACAGAGAGGGAACTTAACAAAGCACGAATTTGAGCGATGCCCTGCAGACCACAGGCAGGGGCTCAGAACCACCGTTTAGACTGCCCTGCTTAAAGTATCATCAGGCACTGGCAAGTTTCCTTATTTGGGCCTTTAAGTGCTACATGGCAACTAGTGTATGCGCAGCAAGCAGGATTTGACTAGCCAACTGTAAAGGCTGTCTGACCTTTTACCATAGCTACAGAATGAGGGCAGCTAGCTCATCGAAAGCTAAGCCGGGGGCACCGGGGTGGCTCAGCTGGTTAAGCGTCTGCCTTCAGCTCAGGTGATGGATCTCGAGGTCCTGGGATTGAGCCCCACATTGGGCTCCCTGCTCAGTGTGGAGCCTGCTTCCCCCCCTCCCTCTGCCTGCTGCTCCCTACTCACGTTTTCTCTAATAGATAAATAAATCTTAAAAAGAAAAAAAAAAAAAAGCTAAGCCCACCCTTGGTTCCGTCAGATTCCCCCTTCCCTGGGGCCCACTAGTGAGATACAACTATCTCCTGGCTGCATGAGCCTGGGTCCGTCTCATTTTTTATTAATCCTATTCAGACCCTCCTCCAGATGTTCACTCATCTGCACGGAGCACTGAGCGCCGGGCTCTTCCCTGATACAAAGAAGAGTCTCTCCGTCGTCAGCATTAAGTGCGAGGCCTGAGAGAAAATGCTGCCCCGACTGGGAAGCCCAGACGGGAACAGCAGCAGGCGAGGGCGGAGCACTGGGGAGCGGCACGAGTCTAGTTCCGTTATTCAGAAGGTGTGTCCGGTGCTGCTCCAGATTCTGAAACGGCAGGGGACGTGCTGTATGCGAGGCTCACGTGTGTGAGGCTTCACCGAACCGCAGATTGATGGGGCCGCAAAACCGTGCCCATTAGGACTTGGACGGTCTAGAACGCCTGCTGCCCCTGTAGGAGAGCTACAACCATGGGAAAACCAAAGACGGCTCCTCTCCAGAAGTACAAATAATTTTACAGGTAAAAACCTGTGAAAAAAGTAAACAACTGGGCTAAGAGAAGATAAACAACCCCCCAAGTTCAGAGCCTGAGCTGGGCTGCGTGTCCTTCCCTGTTCCACGGCAAGAACCACAGGCCTCTGTTCCAGACCCACCAGATACAGAAGTCAGTGGCCCGTGTAGGATTCCTCTGGCTCAAAAACCAGAGACTTTCAGAACCTGCTTGGTTCTAAGTAGAGAAGTCCTTATATTTATAAAATTACAGGTAGATGTTTTTGAGACCACTTACATGGAAATAACTGGCAGATTACCTAGAGATCATTCTACTCTGTTAATCAAAATAGGATCCCTACCCCCTGGAAAACACTTAATTCAAGTGCTATAGATATTTGAAAACTTGTAAACTGGGATTTTAAAAGCTTGTGCCAGAATTCACCTTTAACTGAGCCCAGGCTTCTGTCCGCTGAGATGTGCGCTGCACAGCGGGAGAGAGAGGTCTGCATGTAAAGGCTTCCTGTCCTGGAGACGGGGCGCGTTCGAGACCCTGGGCTCTGCGGGAGTCACGGGACCAGGGGAGTGACGCTGCTCTCTAAGCGGGGGCTGACAGGAGGAGGGCTAGCCTAGGGCCGAGAGCCGGTTTCAGTTCTGATTGTGTGGAGCTCTCTCTCATCAGTCCTGTTAACCTCTCTGACTGCGCGCATGACTGAGGACCTCTGTGAAGATGAAGCAAGATGGCAGAATGCTCTGTGGACATGAGGCGTCACGGTCACCCTCATCGTCCTTGCTCTGGTAGCTCCCCGTCTCCCCAAAGCAGCGACAGTACAACCTTCAGCATACCCACCAACTGAGGAAGTTATACCTCTTCCAAACCAGGGCGGCGGGCACGGACGGACATGCTGTAATCCTCTACTACTTAGCGCTCTGCCCCCGTCACGACCCCCTAAGAACACACCTGGTAAATCATCTTCATCCTCACTGAAAACATTCGGGTTGAAGACAGGCAAATTAACATAGTCCATAGAAATCTTCCGAACCTCTGGGAGATAGATGGTCATCTGCCGCGGCTGGAGATGCAGGAGGCTGGTTTTATAGATTACTGCGGGGGTCGGGGGAAAGGAGGAAAGCGCTGTTAACAAAGACATGCTCTAGGACAGCCAAGCACCGGCAGAGTCACAGGAAGAGAAATGGGGCCGTGGCGTCCCTGCCATCAGAAGGCAGGGGGGAGTCCGACAGTGGCCTTCGTCTCCCTCCCACACGCCACTGGCCACCCAGCCGCGCTTTGGATTCCCTAAGAACAACTCCTCTGTCTAGCCCAGTCACTTTGCCAAGTGATCTGTCTAGGGAACCCCACATTTCAAACGTCAAAAGCATTACCTAGACTTAAATGCTTTTCTGGAATGAGCTGGGATAGGAGAAATACATTTTTTTAAAGCCTCGCTTGAGATCAGAATTCTAATTTAATAAAAATAGTTGTGATAAGCAGAGTGCCAAGCTCAGGGGGATCTCATGCAACCCAGGAGACGGGGCGACATGGGTCAGGTTGGAACTAAACACTCCCCTTACTCAGGACTGGATTCTCCTCTTCCTGACTTTCAACTTCAACCTCATGATCAGGACAGAGATTTAGTGAACTTCCACACTGTTTCTTTACATGCTAAGGTTTTATTCAATCAACAGGGACATTTAGGACAATGCCTCAAATATTTAGAGGTGAAATTGGTTAAAAACAATGAATTTAGGTTTCACAGTAGGTTAAAGTCGGGATCAACTTTCCTTTATGTTTAATGCTCTTTCCTGTGAGGTAAGTACAAGTTCTTGAATTATTACTGTGATTCTCATTTTTGTTAGACCCAGCTCCGTCCCCATAGCTGCCCGCCAGCACCCGGTGGCTGACTGGCTCACACCCCTGCCGCCCAGCAGGACCTCACTGATGAAAGGCCTCTGTGAGGCTGATGCTTGCGCTGCTGTGGGCTAGGACGACTTTTCCAATAAGACACAGGCCTTATTCGTGTGTTCGTCTCTCTCACCCACAGAAGACAATATGAATTTTGGCTTAAAAATTCTGGACGATTCTCTACAGCTTAAAAATTAATGCAGTAAAGGGCTATTCTTCGTTGTTTAGAGATAAAAGAAATAAAATTGTAAAATCTCAGGAGGGATTAAAAATAAAAAGTTGCTTCCAAGGGGGGAAAGATTAAGTGGCCGGAGATAAAGACGAGATGGAGTTTTACTGAATACCACTTCAAATCTTTTGAATTTGAAATTTATTCTATATTTTTTAAATTGAGAAAGCAAAAAATCAGAAATAAAATTTCACAGGCCAGATAATTCTAACTGAAGCAAACAAATTATCCAATATAAAATATATCCAACAGTACTCTACATTTTGACATTAGAGTGCCAAAGATTATTTAAGAGGGTGCCACATGTAACTTACACATCTTCTAGAATCCAAGAGACAGAATCAAGTGGAAAATTTGCTTAGCTTGACAAATGAATAGTAATAGCTAAAATGCTCTTTTTAAAATGGTATGTGATCAGGACAGTGATTTCACTGCAGTCCTACAGAAAGTTTAATCCTGAGCACTTGAGTTCCTCACACTGGAACACCGTGTACAGTGAGGGCACTTACAAGTTCTCCCGTCTCAAGGTCCTTGACTTATGTGTGGATCTATTCAACATCCAGAAGGGAAAGATGCACTAAGACTCCATTCCTCTTTTCAGTGTGTACGTACGGTAGGCAGATGGCTCAGTTCCCAGCTCATGGATGGGGGCAACAGGACACTCACACTGTGGTGCCGAGCATCCCCGTGTGCACCAGTGGGGCACGGCTGCGTTACTGAAGAACACGCTTCCGTGGTCATCAGAGCCTTTCCTTTCTTGGCATTATGTGCAGGAACAGCCTATTGTTATTTTCTAAGTCAGTTTTATGTTTTACTTTTATTCCTCTTTTTCTTTGAGCTGAGAAACCTCAAAAGGAAAAATCCGCATGCAGCACAATTTAGTCCCTTAACATGCATACACGGCACAGCTCTTTTTAACACCTGCTTTGCAAAAATTATTTAATTGAAAGGATCTGTGTCTGAAACAACCCCAATAGGCAGATTCATAATTTTTCAAAAACCATTTTTAGCAGTAGGTTACGCAGAGCCATTCAAGATGGGACCACCAGGGGCGCCTGGGTGGCTCAGTGGGTTAAAGCCTCTGCCTTCGGCTCAGGTCATGGTCTAAGGGTCCTAGGATCGAGCCCCACATCAGGCTCTCTGCCGACTCTGCCTGCCTCTCCGCCTACTTGTGATCTCTGTCAAATAAATAAATAAAATCTTAAAAAAAAAGAAAAAAAAAGATGGGACCACCATCCATTGGCAAGCCTGGCCTTCCAGAGAGAGCTGTGCATACCAAATGATGAGGCAATCTAGCAAGGCTGGGCGGGGGACAGCATGTGTCCACAGCCCACCCAGGGATGTGCCTACTGGCATGAAGCTGCTTTGAAAAGGACCTTCTGTCATTTCATTCCTTCGCTGTCCCCAAGTAAACATGACACATTAGTACTACTCATTCGAGCAAGAGTACAGAAAGAACGCAAATGTCAGGTTCTAGCCCAGCTTTTACTTCCTTACTTTTGTTTTCCTCAGTGTCTCAAACTTCTCACGGAGAGGGTACTTATCTGGGACTTCCAGGTGCCATCTCTAAGGGTTTACCACACAGAACTGTATTAACAGTCAGCTCCTTATGGTCTTTAATGCCTTCTGAACCTCAACTGTCTTCTGACTCGAGAACCTAAAGATACTGGTACCTAAACCTGCCCATAACGAAAGGCCAGAAATCAGATAACCAGAACCCTATCAAAACTCTGTTAGAGACTGCAGCTGGTTCTGTCTTTTCATAAGTCAGGATTACACAAAAAAAATGAAAGCACGGCTGGCAAAAAGCAATTGAGTAATAATTCTAATTTTTGCGAAATCACAGTGGGTAGTGGCAAAGTTTGAAGGTGAATAAAGTACATGCTAATGTTTTGGTGTGATAAGAACTCATTTGAATGGTCTTTTTAGTTTCAGTTTCAACTGACAGAACGGGAAGAGAAGAGGACATGGTTTTTACCTGCACCGAGGTTGGTTGGCAGGAAAGCAGCCAAGCCCACAATCTTAAACTTGGTTCCCCAGATATTAGACGTGACCTGAGCAAGATAGTTGTGCTGTAGGAAGAGGGGGGAAAGGAAAAAAAAATCACAATCTGTTTTCATATTTTCTATTGATGACTTAGGAACTAAGAATGTTAACATTTTTGCTTAGAAAGTCACAGGTGGGCACTGCTGGAAATATTCATTATCATTCTACCCTTTTTAAGACCAGAAGCTAATGAGAACATGTCAGGCACGTGTTTCTGAGCGGTGGCTCACGGAGCTGAGAGTCGCAGGTGGGGAGTGAGGGGATGTGTCCCAGTGTGTCCACGCGTGCGCAGGTTAAAAAGTCCACAAGGGTGCTCTGGGCACATTTTTCTTCACCTTTTCTTTTCCTCCAGTCACTGAACTAGAGAGGGTATACCCAGCTCTGAGTCCATTTGTCCTAGAAATACCAGTTGCACTGAAACCAGTAAATGTCCACAAACCAGCCAATTATCTGTTTCCTCATTCAACTAAGAAAGTTTTTAAAAAATGATCAGTATGCTTCGACCACGTGTGTACATGTGTGCGAAGAGTGATAAAAGAGATGAATAAACTGTAGCTCCTCAAAGGGCTGATAACCCAGTGCAGGATGTAAGCTTAGAATTATTTGCAGACAAGGAAGGCACTGAGAAATGGTGTAAGGGAGGTACAATAAGGTGCTTGGGGATTGCTGCAGCTGAGCCACGGACGGACACCTTCGTGACGGTTCTGTGTGGAAGCGTGCTGGCAGAAGCAAGAAGGGAAGACAGAAGGGGGAGCCAGGGCACCCTGGTGACCCAGGCACATCGAAGGCACAAACGCAGAAGGCAGCCAGCCAACAGTGAGGCTGTGGCACCTGGAGGGCATCGAGGGGAACCAGGAAGGAGGGATAGACAGCACGAGATGAGGGGGCCGCCAGCAGGGACTGGCTCCTGTGGACACCAAGAGTCACCGAAGGGTCAGACGTGGCTTGAGGGAGCAGAGGGGAGGAGTGTGGCTAGGTCTCAACCAGAGCTATCTGTGAAAAGACTCACATGGCAACAGAGGGGTGTCTGAGGTGGGAAGGAGGTCCTGGGGGACGTGAAGGTACTGGGGACTGCCTGAGGGCAGGGGAGGTAAGGAAGGCAAACAGGGCTCTGGTTCTCTATGCCCCCTGTCTGGAATGGCAGTGACAGGCACGGAGACTGGGGTGGTGAGTGCAGGTGTGACGAGTGCCTGTGCCGAGGGCTCAGCCCCCATCAGGCACACACTGAGGACGGCAAGAAGGGCAGGCGAGCATCAGACACACGGAACCGCCCTGGAGCCCAGGTGCTACCTGAGTGATGTCTTCAAAGGGAAACTCTCTTCGTGTCAGGCTGGGCGAGCCAATGGAGGGCTTGCGCATCGGCAACCGGGGAGACCTGGACATCTCCTGAGCAGCTCGGGACAGCTTGGGAGACTTCCGGGCCTCAATGTTGATCCTGTGGAGACAAGGCCAGGAGGGTCAGTCCCCACAGGTCGGGGAGGCGCCCACTGCCATGGCCCTCTCCTCTGTGCTCTGGTGGCCATCATGGGTGCCATGTTCCAGGGCCCACTTCCCTTTATCCGAGCCTCTCTCACCTGCTTTTGCTTCGTGAATGTGAAGAACAGAATTGCATATCAAGTAATATGTATTTGAAAATATGGTGAGATTAGGGAGTGCCTGGGTGGCTCAGTGGGTTAAGCAGCTGCCTTCAGCTCAAGTCATGATCTCAGGGTCCTGAGATCAAGCCCCACATAGGGCTCCCTGCTCAGCGGAGAGCCTGCTTCCCCTTCTCTCTGCTTGTGCTCTCTGTCATTATTTTTCTTTCTCAAATAAATAAATCTTAAAAAAATTTACGGTGAGATTAGACCAAGTGATTCATTTGTAAGGAACCTCAGAGAATTAAATGTAGTTGACTTTCTACTGCCTAATAATTAAGTTTAGAAACATCCACATGCCTTGCATGTGGGAAACTACCAAGTGGGAAGAGCCATTTTTCACCGTAAGACCACAACGATTTTATAATTCCTACTACAATGTTAGGATTTCGACAGACTTACCTAGCCTTTCACCAGCTGTCATATTTTAAATCAAATCTGTGCGTCTACTTTTCCCTGCTGCCTTTTGATCCTACATTCTATCTCTGGTCTTCAGTTCTGTTTGTCACCCAGGGACACGTGTATTAATGCCAGTCTACCCCACAGAGAGTGCTATAAAAATGAGTATGTTAAGGTCAATGGCAGTCAACGAGAGAAAAGCACTGAGCCTCATGAGTGTTGCTTGAGAGCTTGCTATGATAGCGGGGGCTCCCAAAGTTTGAGGGACACGGGGACTGAGCTTGTGAAAACTCTGTGTGAGGACAGTTAGTCCGGCTGCGGCATGCAGGTTGATTCAACACAGGGAAAGACAGAAGGAACGAGGACCAGCGCCAGAGACCGCCACATCCAGGAACTTTAAAAGGACATTTACAGGTGAGGAGTTTGTTTGCTTATATGTTAAATGTTCTCCCTTAATTAATGGGAAAAGCTGAAACACTACAAAAGTGTAGGAAAGTTCATAATTTTATTTGTAATTTCAATATGCTTAGAATAAAGATGAAAAAAAATCAAATTATTTGAGCAATTGGTATATATGTGAGGGAAAAACTCACACCATACACAAAAAGTAATCTGAGATTGAAGTATGAAAGCTAAAACTACAAAGTTTCTGGAAAAGAACAGAAAAATGTCTTTACGACCAAAGAGTAGACAAAGATTTCCTAAACAGGACACAAAACGCACTAATCATAAGAGAAGAAATCCATATTGCGTTAGACCACGTATGTGACACTGCGTATCTCCGCCCAAAGACTCAAAACTAGAATACATGAAGACTGACAACTTGACGAGAGAAAAACAACTCAGTAAAAACCGGGCAAAAGACCCAACAGAGATCCAAATGGTCAGTAAGCATATGAAAAACTGGCTAGCAGCGATCACCAGAGACTGCCAACACCCCCACCTGCCCAGCAGAAGGGATAAAACTGTCTGCTAACAGTGACAGTGCAAACATGGGTGGGGACAGAAGCCTCACAGGCCGCTGACAGGAACTCAGAACAGCGGGGCACCCTGGGATACTGGCTGGCAGTTTCTAATAAAGTTACGTGTGCCAGGACCCGGCAAGTCCCCCACTAAGTGTATACCGGAGATAAATGAGTGCATGTGCCCCCAAGAAGTCTTGTATAAGGATGCCCACAACGGGCTGATTTCTAACAGCCCCAAACTGGAAACTACCTAAGATCAACCTACTGGTGAAAGGAATAAACAAAGTGTAGAATGTCCACTACAACAGAAACCACAGAGCAAAGAAGAAAAACCACTGACACATACCACACGAATGAGTCTCAGTCATTATGTTGAGCAAAAAACGTCAAATAAAAAAGGAGTATATATTGTTGATGCCATTTATATGAAATTCAAGAACAAGTCAAACTCCTCTGTAGTGACAGAACTTAGAAGAGTGATTACCCTGGGGAGTGGGTATCGAATGAGAAGGGACATGAGGAACTTTCCGGGATGATGGAAATGTTACCTTCAACTGGGTGATAAATATTCTGCTTTATCAACTACACAGGAAATTAGGTCTTTGAGATCTAGGCAGGTATGTATCTGCACATAAATTAGATCTTAATTTTGCACAGCATCACAGAATTTCAGAGCTAAAGAGAGCTTAGTGAGGATCTGGCCACCCTTTGCCTTCCACAGGTAAGGACACTGGCATCTGGGTCAGGGGTTCATTCAAGGTTACAGCCTTCGGGAGTGGAGCCGGGAGCGGACGGGGCTCTTACCTAGGACACAACAGGCCCTTCTACCTAATCTAAGCTTTTGGCCACTCTTTAGGACAAACCTTTGGCATGTGAAATTTTTTCAGTTGATGATTTATTTCGAATCACAGCATTATAAGGTATTAAACTGGGCACTCCATTCAACGCAGTACATTACACTTCCTGTAAAAACTTCTTACTTTTCTCGAACTGGAAGAACAAAGTCAGCAGGGAGCTCCGGCCACGCTGTGCCCCACCATCGGTACTAACCCTGAAGAGTTAGGAGGCTTAGCAAACTTCCCGTGGATGGCTTTTTCTACCCAAAGGAGAGAAGAAAGGAAACCTGTAATTATCGCTGGCAGACCCTCCCGATGAAAGGCAGGGATGCCCTCTTGCAAGGGCCCTTCCGGTGTCAGCTTCAATGGGACGCTGCTGCAGATAGGACACAGACATCCCCAGAGGCCCTAACAAGGGAGACCAGCCCTGGGGAGCAAGCTTACCTTGGGAGTTTGGGTGACTTGCTAGCTCGGGAGATTTTGGGGGATTTCTTGGCAGCCCAGTCGTCACTCAGTTCCACATCGCTGGAGTCCGAGCAGTTGCAGCTGTCCAGCATGGCGGAGATCAGGCCGTTTCCATAGATTTCATCTGGTGAGACACAACCCACAGATGCCGGAATGTGCGATCAGTTAGGCCCTAGTGAGGATGGTTAGCACAGGAAACTACGGGACAGACCGATTCTTTGGGCCAGCATTATAAGTTCAGAGTTGAAAGGGAAAGGACCAGAGTATGGTTTCCCTTTTCCGTTTTTATGCTGTAACACTTCCTAAGCAAAAGGAGGCAGTAACTTCTACTGTTATCAAAATGGGCCTGAATTTCAGCATCTCTGGAATGTACAAAATCGTTTGGCCGCGTTTACTGTGCCAAAAGTGGGAACCTCCCAGCACAACAAGCATCCATCTGGGTTCATACGGGTTTGCAGGAGGAGCCAGGCCAAGCAAGGGGCTTGCTTACTCACAGAAGCCCCCAAGATCCTGCTTCTGAGCGGGGGCCTGCCAAGGCCCCTGCAGGTTCCAGGCCTGCTCTGGACTGGTGACCTGACAAGGTCGGGGCCATGGCAGGAACTCCCAGATGTTTACGCCGGCCTGCTTTGAGCGGTGGCTGGAAGGCAGGCCTGGGCAGGTGCCCTGTCCCTGGCCGTCCTGGGCTCTGCGGGGGTGCCTCAACAGAAGCTGCTAGAGTGTCACTACTGGTCACCAGGCAGGAGGTTTGAGGGCCTGTGGTGGAGGACGTTGCGCATGGAGGCTGGGCCATCATGAAACTGCACTGCAGAGGAAGGTCGTGTCTGACCCCTTCCTCGAAATCCTTTCTCCCACCCCTCACATCCCTTTACTTCCCAATCCTGCTCTGCCCTCACAGTAGGAAGCCCATCGTTCAAATCACTTTTTTTTTTTTTTAAGATTTTATTTATCTGACCGGCAGAGATCACAAGTAGGCAGAGAGGCAGAGAGAGAGAGAGAGAGAGAGAGAGAGAGGAGGAAGCAGACTCCTTGCTGAGCAGAGAGCCCGATGTGGGACTCGATCCCAGGACCCTGAGATCATGACCTGAGCCAAAGGCAGAGGCTTAACCCACTGAGCCACCCAGGCACCCGCAAATCACTTCGTTTTGCTGACAAAAGCTTCATTCCTTCAAGGCTCCAAAAACTTTGCCAAGTTATAAAAAAGCTGAACTCTTCAACTGCAATGAAACCATTTATGGAATTTAAGTGACTTTATCATTCAAAAGGGCTGTTTACGTTTGAAAGGAGGAATTTGCTAAGGTAAACTCTGGTGTTTCTGAACATATGGAGGGGACATCTGTGAACAGGGACCTGTCTGAGGGCCCTGGAGGCCGAGAAGCTCCCAGGAAGCAGGCCGGCTGAGGCCCACATCACCTTCTTCTTAAACGACTTCCTTATCAGGAGGCGTGACCCGTGAGGACAGCAAGCTGGGGTGGTGAGCACCTGCGTTCGATCAAGTAAGAAGGTTTAATTCACGTGCCCTGAGCAGCGCTTTACATCACGTAACTGAGGAGTCACTCGGGGCAACGACGCTTGGCCATGAGTCACGCCAGCCGTGTGAACGCACAGAAAGCTTCTGTGGGCTTGTGAGCCCAGACCCAGCTCACAGCCTGAGGAAACTCAGTACCGTGCTGTCCGCTCAGCTCCCGGCTGGTCTGCTAACCCAGGAGTTCACACCTGCTCTAGATCACACCATTTGCTTTTGTCCTTGACTCATGTCTTAATCCAGCTGCGCGGCTATAACAAAATGCCACAGACCGGGTGGCTTATGAGCAACAGAAACTTCCCTCTCAGCTCTGGAGGCTGGAGTCCGAGATCAGGGTCCGGCGATGACTGTCTTCCTGGCACAGCCGGCCACACTCTCGCTGTGTGCTCCCGGGCCCTGGCCTGAGCAGGTGTGCAGAGACAGCCCTCCTGCTTTTCTGGCCAGGCCACCAGTCCTACTGTCAAGTTAGGACTGTACCTGGACAGCCTCCTTTCACCTGAATCACTCCCTAAAAGCCTCATCTCCAAATACGGTAACACAGGAGGTGAGGGCTTTGACGTGTCAATGTCTGGGGGACACAATTCCACCCACAGTAATAAGCTCTGACAAAGACTCCTTTTAAAAATTGGTGAATTTGGGGGCGCCTGGGTGGCTCAGTGGGTTAAGCCTCTGCCTTTGGCTCAGGTCATGGTCTCAGGGTCCTGGGATCGAGCCCCGCACCGGGCTCTCTGCTAGGCAGGGACCCTGCTCTTTCCTTCCTCTCTCTCTGCCTGCCTCTCTGCCTACTTGTGATCTCTGTCAAATAACTAAATAAAATCTTCAAAAAAAAAAATTGGTGAATTTTTACTTAACAGAACATGCTCTCGTGTATGTTCTCAACTATAAAAATACACACCAGTCATTCAGAGGAGTGTGTGTGTTCAGCTGCCGGGAGAACACGCCCAACAGCGGGTCCCAAGCTTTGGAGCCTGACTGTCCGCCTGGCAGTGGCAGGTGTGGACGCGGCGGCCTCACCCCAGACCCGCAGAAGGAGGCTACAGGGCAGGCGTGGCAAGCTGTGTTCAGATAAATTCCCCAGGTGATCTGCAGGGAGGAGGCCTGGGACCGCCTTCTGAGAAGCTTCAGAGCGGATCAGCTCACGAGAAGCTCCCGGCTTCCCGAAGTCAGTGCTGCTCCCTCTCGGAACCCCCTGGAAGCAGAGACACTGGGCATCGCCCCACAACCACAGGAGACCCAGCGACCGCGGACAGAGGGAGCACAGAACACATAGTGTGGGCCTGCTCTGCTTTATAACTTTGACTGTTTTCATCACAAAGATAAGGCGTCTTACTCCCCAGACGACGGCTAGCGATTGCGCCCGCCTGTGTATGCCGTGAGCTGGAGGTGACTGTGCGCAGGAGCAGGTGCGGGATGGGGCCAGGCTCCCAGCTCGGGGCTTGGGAGGTCACAGCCTCAGTGCCCGCAGCTCCCCCGCCTGCGTCTTCTGTCCTATTTCTAGGGAGGAATTTATGCACTTGGGACAGAAGCAAGTTCTTCCTGTCCGTTCCCTTCAACATGCAACCTGAGGGAGGTTTCACAGACTTGAACACAAGTAGGAGCCTCAGACACAACGACCTCCCTCCGTGAGATGACCACGACGCATGCGTTCCGCGCCTCACCCCCTTTGGGCATCACTGGTCACCACCGGCTCCTCTCCTCTCCCGTTCGAGGTCAGTGGCCACGGCTCTCCTACTTCGCCTGCCTGCCTTCTCAGCCTTCTCTCTCCCTCTGTTCCACCCACCGCCCTGTCAGCCTCCGGTTCTTCCACTCACTTCCTCTGCTTTTGGTAACGCTTCTCTGCATGACTCAAAAGACAAATGGACGAATACCCAATTTGTTAAAGTACAGTTTTACCGCTTTCAATTTTACACCGTGACACTGACCGCAGAATGCAGCCCCAGACGCCGAGCCAGTAACGGAGACCGGACAGAGGTGGGGCAGCTACACAAAGTACCAGGGTGAGCGAGCGTGCCTGGCTGGGCCATGACACTAACACGTCACCGTGCCTAAGGGGACACGAGGGGCAGGGCCAGTCTAAGAGGCAGGAGAGACAGGAGGAGAAGGGAAGTGGAGAGCAGCAGGCACCCATGAAACAAATCCCTTTCCAGGTCAGGCGCTCGCCAGGCCCTGGGGTAGAGAGAGGACTCAGTAACCCCGTCCAGGCCCTTAGGACTCAGGGGGCAGACAGAGCCTGGCCCAACAAGCACTATGGGCCCTGCGGGACCCCAGCAGCCCGAGTGACAGGCGGCTGGCCCAGGAGGCAGCGTTTCTCCCTCTGCTTCAGGGCCCGAGCAGGATTTCACAGGGGACAGCAGCCCATGGAGCTGGCAGGCAGTGCTGGCTGGGCATGGGGACCTCAGCAGTCCCTGGCTTAGGACACTGGGCAAGCACCAAGGTGCAAAGACAAAGAGCCAAGTCCCTTTGCTCAGGAGGCTCCTGGTCGTGGATGGCAGAGGCGAGCAAGCAGCGAGCACCCTGAGGACAGGTGAGTAACGAAGACCGGTATGGGAGAGAGTTCTTAGAAGGGCAGACTGAGTCATCATCATGCCAGATCTTTATGGATGAGCAAGGAATTTTCCTTCATAATCAGCTAAAAAGCAACTCACGGTGGATTAGGGAGGAACAGAAGAAAGACTCTAGCAGGAGGCTGAGCAGCAGGCTGAAGCTCTGAGAATTTTAATTCTGTCCCTCGCTCTGGGAGGGCAGAGATGCACCTCACTGTGGTTTTCAGCTGGTCTCAACAGTGCATTAAGGCCCCTGATGACACCTGATAAGTAACTAAAAGAAGAATCTACCACTCCCAGAAAGCCCGGGCCCGCTTCCCCGACAGAGAGCTGACGTTTGCTCTGGCCACGGCCCAGCCACACGAAGCCTTGCAGATTGCTGTTAAAAACCCATCAGAAAGGATATTTTAAGAATCATTAACTTCGATACAATGTTGGAAGTGGGGCAGCTTCGAGGACCTTCCACGCTAGCCACAACACAGGCTCACGTTTCATACGCGGCATTGTCCTCGCATGGGCTGTCAGGTAACCTATTCCTCAACCTCCCCTGAGAACGAGGTCTTAGGTCTCTGGCGTGGAGCCCACCTGATTTGCCATCCGTCCGGGGATCCATGATGACGAACTCCGGCCGCAGTTTACTGACGCGCCGCCCCTTGAGGATGGGCACGAGCCCGCCCAGATACTCCAGGTAGAGGGTGTAGCACGGACCGCCCACCTCTGGGTCGTCCTCCGTGCGCTTCATGGTGCAGTGCAGGCGCTCGTTGCCGGCGGAGGGGTAGCTGACGAAGTCTCGCATGTTGTTGGGATCTGGAATTGGGGGCTAGAGGCAGGACATGGACAGGAAAGAGTACGGATGTCACTGAGAACTGCAACAGAGCACTGGCTGCTAGTTCGGGGAGGCTTAACGACGTGATGTGGGACAGCGGTTCTCAACTTGGGGTGCATGGAAGGATCCCCTGGGACCTTTAAAAAAATACCTAAGCTAGGATCCCACCTCTAACAATGAAATCAGAGTCTCTGTGTATTTTCTAAAAATTCCCCATGCGGTTTAACGTGTAGCCAGGGCGGAGAATCCCTGTGCACAACAGAGACAGTAAAGCAGCTTGAGAAAGATCACAAGATTCTAACTGATGTTTTAAGAAAAAAAGTCACCTTGAAAAAGTGCACCTGACACTTAGGAAGCAGAGACAACACAAAACAGAGAGCACAGGCAAGAATGTAAGGCGCGGAGGCCCCAAGGTTAGGGGGGACACCGGTCTGCACGTGAACAGCCTCACCAAAACCGGACAAGTGTCGAGCCACAGTCCACATAAAGGCCGAGTGACAGCGAGTGCAGGGTGGGGGACAGCCCAGGACGGTTCAGTCTGACCGCTCCCAGAACCAGCAGTGGAGCACGCTACTCCAACTTCTAGGAACAGGTTTCCCACTCTTCTGAAGCATCTGCCGGGCAGTCAGGGTTGAACACGGCAGAACGCTCTTCAGGAATCAACCTCTCCTATCGCCTTTGCAAATAGGAAGCTCAGGCCCCTCACACAAGGCGAGTCTCTGGCGCGACAATGGGGCCAGGGACAGACGGCACTCGGAAGCGGTCGTCCGCAGGATCCTCCCGTCGAGGAGCAGACACGACTTCTGCTCGCCCGCTCTGGGATGCCTGTCGGCCTTCTCGGACCCTGCCCTCCTCGGGCCAGCCGTCCGGGCGGGGGAGCCAGCAGGGAGAGAGTGGAGAGGTCTTACCTTGATGGTGGGGGTGAAGGCGGTGGAGAGGTAGGAGCAGAGGCGAGGGGGCAGGGTGAGCTTGCTGACGTCCTTGTCTTCCCGCAGGGCGCTGGCGATGGCCTCCTGGCACAGCAGCTGCAGGCTGGACACGCGGTGCTCCACACGCACCACGTACAGGGCCGGCCCCGAAGCCATCAGCAGCCGCGAGTCCCGGTGTCCCCAGCAGATGGAGACGATGGGGCGCTGCCAGGAAGTGAGGGAGGCGACACTTAGGCTCTGCTCTTGTGGTAAAGCACAGATCATGCACGCGTGTGTCAAGCAAAACAAAGTGACCTAATAGTTTCCGAGAATATTGGTTTTAAAAAGTATAACACACAATGAAATACTACATCACAGAAATTCAGTATTTTCTTTGGAAAACAGGTGCTCAGGCCAGAATGCAAAGCACTGGAACGGTTTTGTACAGTTTTTTTTATGTGTATTATCTCATTAGATCTGGTGCCATAAACCCTAACTTAGCTCTGTATGATGATGTCTCTACTGGAAGATGCTTTTAGCCTGGGGTACAGTAACCCACACCCCTTACTGAGCTCTGGCTATCTGGATCCCCGAGAAACCAGTGGCTGTTCCGGTGGCTTGGGGAGCTGGTGTGGGGGTAGACCAGACAGCCGGTCCCTTTGGTCGTAACAAGGTGCATTTTAGAGTGACATCGACACTGGTCTGGAGTCACATGCCATGTGACCTAGGGACTACTCTACAACCCTGGGATGTCTCCCATGTTCTCAGGAGTAGAATGGGAGCTGTGAGGATTAAAGGAGAGGGAAGATGTCAAAGGTACTTCTGAGGCCTATCACAGGCTACAGCCCACAGACGCTGCACTGTGGTCCTCCTTGGCCACCCTTGAGCTATAGCCAGAGGAAGAAAGCAGAAAGCTCTCCAGGAAGAGGACAGTGGTGAAGGGACAAAGAGCTCCTGTGGGGACTGCTCAAGGGGGCTGTGCCACCACTGCTTTGAAAAGGCAGGCCAAATCCAAATAGGCAAGTCAGAAACTAGCTGCCCGGACAAGACACAAGGCTCGGGGGCGCCGGCTAAGCGAGATCCACACCAAGGAAGACAGGAGGAGGCAGAGGGCTGTGACGGGGAAGCCGTGGGAGAACTGGTTCCTTCCGGTCCAGCTGGATGGGGCTCTAATTTAGGGAGGTCTTAAGGGGCTGCAAAGATCAGAAGTGGGGTGTCGAATCAATTATAGGAGTGACAGGAGGAGAATTTTCATAGCACTCTAGTGACAAACAACAAGATAAAAGGAACAGATGAAGACACTTGCTTAAAATAGCCTCCAGGGTCAGCTAATCCTGGTTTCAACTTTGAAACAAAATGCCAGGCTGAAGATACTCCATCTTGTCTTTCCATCTCTGTGAGCCCCGGCAGTGCGGGTTGGGACCCCAGGCGCGACCCCCCGGAGGACCACGGAGCGGGAACTCAAGTGTGTGGGCCTCCAGATGGGCCTCCTTACAAGAGGGTCCCACCGGTGGGGCAGACCCCAAAGAGAAAGCTATACTCACGACTGGAGACAAGGCAGATAACACACAAAATACACGGAACACTCCTTTGCTATCATCAACCCCCCGTAAGTGCAGGTCACATATTTATCCTCCTGTCCCCTCTGTCCTTCTGCTTTTCATAGTAGCAGTTAAAATGGTTTGGGAGGATCTTACACAAAGTTATCATTATGGTAAATATGTATCTCACATCTTTGTACAGCAGAACTTAAACCACGTATACAGACTTTCAAAGTGGATGAAAATTCTCTCTTACAGCTTCACAACCAATTACAGCGGCCCACCGAACCCTCTCAGTTCTGCCATGGGGGAGCGCGATTCTCACTGACCTCACCAGGAGCCCGGGAACCTGCCGCTCAGAGAGGCTAAGGACAGCGAACACCCGGGAAGCCACAGTTCTCACCGGCTTCCCTTCAACCCCACTGCTTGTGCTCCTTCCGCAGGGGCTCCCTCCTCTCCTGTCCGGACACCACACAACCGCCTGAAGAGGGCAGAATGTCCCACGAACCAACTGAACCGCCAGTCACAAGCAGAGTAAGAGGCCCAAATTGCCCCCTTAGTCCATTCCATCAAGGCATTTTCATTCAGAAACAAACTGGACATGTCTGCAGAAGAGGCAAACAGGAGGAGAAACAGGCTGCGTCATTAGCAAATGGACAAGGACCAGAACGACTCTTTACAGCAGAAAAGAATCTGCAGGTCACGTGGGCACAAAAGCAGAGACAAATTAGCCCAGAAATACTGTTAGGTGCACCAGAAAGCAAGAGGACGGCCCTGTCTGGAAGGGGAGGGAGGACCGTGCTCCTGCTCGGTGCATGGCATCCACGAGGAAACAGACTTCTCCGCAGCGAGGGCGGAAAGGGTTGGAAAGAGTGAAAACCAGAACCCAGGACCCTCCCGAGGGTGGGAGGTATGCGGCAGCCTAAGGACGTGATAACATGCGGGGGCTCAAAGGGAGAAGTATTATCCAGAGCAAGGTTACCGGGAAGTACCGAGAATACCACCAGGGATTGATAGCCAGTGTTTGGGGTGAGCATCACCTACTTGTCTGCGTCAGTGACAGTCTATTTCAGTAAAGGGGGGAACACATGCTCATGTAAGTTATTTCTGCAGCATATATTCCATGTAGATGATAAAGTAGCAGGGGCGCCTGGGTGGCTCAGTGGGTTGAGCCTCTGCCTTCGGCTCAGGTCATGATCTCAGGGTCTTGGGATCGAGTCCACATCGGGCTCTCTGCTCAGTGGGGAGCCTGCTTCCCCCCCTCTCTCTGCCTGCCTCTCTGCCTACTTGTGATCTCTGTCTGTCAAATAAATAAATAAAATATAAAAAAAAAAAGATGACAAAGTAGCAAAACAAATATTGGTACCTTTCTATACTAAATTTTAAGGCTGTATCAGAGAAGCAAAGAAGAATTTACAGATAGTGAGAGCTGATGCTCTTGTCTGAAGGTTCTGAGGTCTCCCTGATGTGGGGAAATTGATTACTGTTAATTCCCATTGAGTGGAGGAGGGCGGCAGTGGGGCCCTGACTCAGGGTACCTTTAAATCCTGTAAGCCTGTAGAAAGGCTGTACCATGTATTTGAAAGTTGTTAAGAGACTGTATCTTAGATGTTTTTCCCACAAAAAAAGAAACGGCAATTATGTGTTGTGACGGAGGTGTTTGTGAACCTTATGATGCAATCCTGCCGCCGTACATAAAGGCATCAAATCCATACTCGCATACTTGAAATTTACACAACCTTCATGTCAACGCAGCAGAGCTGGAAATAAATAAGAAACCACACAGGAAATCCTTTTATGCCTTTCTAAATACTTTTATACTGTTTTTATATGTCATCTTACTTTTTTAAAGTCTCATTTCCTTTTGGTGCTGAGTTTCCTGTGCTGTTTATGGGTACGTCAGCCTACAAAGCCCTCCCTACAAATGTCCTGTTTTGGAACGAACCAGACTCAAAGTGGAGGTAAGCGCACATGCCCACAGATAAGGGGTGTGGGGTGTCTCGGGTCCGCTGCCTCCCAATCTGTGATTTCTGCCCTCCATCCCCCAGGATCTGCGATGCGGGCAGAGCACGAAGCCACGGTCTGCCCGCCCACAGCCCTCGCCCACAGAGCGCCATCCTCCCTAAGAACTGCCCACCTGCCAGGCCTCGCGGCAGCAGGACAGAAACACACCGAATGTTTGATCCCAGTAAACCTGGAACAGATAAGGGTGCACACTAACACAGCTCCCACAGATTAATGCTTTTGTTTGAACAGCTGCTGTCTGCTAGGGGAAAAACTCAGCTGTAAATCTGTGGGCTTACTCTCTCTCTCGAATCACACAAAATGACTATTTTTAGAACCGATGGCTAGAACTGTGAAGTTGGTAACATTCAAATCTTAATTTGTGTAGGGAAGTTCACATACTTTGCATGTCTAAATCCAAGGCAAAAGGACAAGAAAATGAGCTACATTTCAGGGAGCGTTAGTGTGGTAGAAATCTAGTGCTTTGGTGAGTCTGATGGAACAAGGAGAGGTATTAATCAGCTGGAGAGATGCTATTTGTATGAAGGTCTGGCGAGTGGTTGTCCCCTCAAGGACCTCCCTGTCCCTCCGTCTGATGCTGGGCCACGTGAAGGAAGCAGGAAAGTCTGCTCCTCGGACTTCCTCAGCTACAGGGCACAGATCGGATCAGCAGATGGCCGGTTTCAGCCCCTCTGGCACGTGGAGACACGCCACATCCCTCCCAGCCTCACCTCCCACTGCTGGACAGTGCGCCCCGCACACTCAGCCAGTCACACACCCAGGTAACTGTCCGGTAAATGCACACAGTGGGGGAGGGGAAGACACATTCTGAGTGCTGGGGACCAATACTGAGAGAAACAAATTCCCTGTCTTCATGGACCTGACACCCTGAGGTGGGAAAGGGAGAGAGATGCGTATCTTAGTCCCTCCGACAGGGACTACCTGCTCGTCAGGTGGTGAAGAAGGGCAGGATAAGGGGCTTGAGAAAGAAGGAGGGGGTTGTTCGGACAGAGGGGAGCAGAGAAGGCTGCCCCAACGAGGTAGTTTCAACAGAGGCCTGACCAAGATGGGGGAGTTTATTTATTTTAAAACATTCAAAGTTTCCTCACCGTATTGCTATATTTGCATCTGCAGTGAGTTGCATGGAGTCCTCTAAAAATTTCAGAGGAATAAAAAACAGGATGTTCTTTCCATATTAAAGATAAGCTGCTCAAGCAAAACAAAAGACAACAGACAAAGAAAGGGTCAAAGCCAGCTGTCCTGAGAGAAGGACTACGAGGCTGTCTGAACCCAGTTTCTGGCTGACGAGGGCCCTAGGCTGAGGACAGAGGATGCGGCCCACGGAGGTGTCCGAACCTCTGGGTGTCAGGGCGCCCCCTGGGCCTCCCAGGCGCTGCAGCTCTCCCCCTCCTTTCTGCAGGTCCCCTAAGAAGGTGGGATGATTCTGTCTTAGAGGAAATACACTTCAAACGTCTAATACTTGAAGAGGATGTCTAATGTTGGTATGAGTGTGTACAAAGGGAATGTCTACTGTTTGTACAAGTGTGTACAAAGAAGGAAAGCCTTCCAGAACAGTTCACTTTTAACAGACCAAGTGCGGTGAGTGGTCCCCACCCAACTGTGTGGGCCGGAGCCGCGGACAGCTCCGAGTGTAACGCTCTGATGATTCCGGCCACTGAGGCGAGGCGGGAAAAGCCAGCGCAGCATCCAGGCGCCCACCTCTCAGTTTTAAAAGGACACACCGTTCTCGCATTCTGAAGCAGACAAGCTCAGCAGCAAGTACCTTCTCATCTATTTAGAGCAAACGGGGGAGAAAGCACTCCCGCGGCAGCTTCGTCAGAGCATGTACAGTGAGTCCTCAGTGAAGAGGCGGCGACACAGACCTCGGCTAACGGGACTCCTGGAGTACAGAGTCGATGACCACAGACACAATCTCTCATTTCACTTTCTGTTTCCACACTACCTCTCCCTCTCCCTTCTCTCTTAATTTTTTATCCAGATATCTTATATTGACTACTGAACCTTACAGAATACACGTCGACTCCTCCAACATGCCTTTCAGGCAAAAAACATTCATGAAGCTAAGACAAAACCAACAAACCAACCAAAACCTCAGGCCCAAATTACTGCAGCCCATGGCGTCAGTGGGTAGAACTAACTCTAAGAACCGTCGTCAGAGTAGCAATCACATATAGCTGGTCACAGAAACAGCTAATGAGGTAAACTGCAGAATTTTACAACAGGTAGAAAGGAAAATAAATTGCAGTATATTTTCTTATAAGAGCTTCAGCCACTAGCCTTGTTGTTATGAGTAAATCAGGAGAATCAATTTTAAAGCCGAGGCCACCGCAAGTTTGTGCCCAGCAACGAACGGCTTTGTACGCAATAGCCTACAATCTAATTAACTTAGAAATAAATTATCCAATCTAAATTGCATTTAGTTCTTTCTATAAACAGCCCAATAAATTTCCTAACTTCCTTCCTGCTATAAAAATGTCCCTGCCTTTGGACAATTTGAATAGTATAGCACAGATAACATGTGATTTTAGAATCATTACAGAAAAAGTTAGGTTGGTGCTACCTGTAATTAATGTTGTACTTGATTTTTAATAGCATCATTATTTAACTGTATGTTATTGAGGAAATTTTTTCAATGGTTGAAACAGATCCTCAAATGAAAAAAAGACTAATTTATTAAAATGCTGAGACACTATATGGTCATTTTTCCCCAAAGGAAGATCAGCTAAGCTCTCTTTTTATCCTTCAGGTCCAAACAGTGAAAAATTCAAGACCTATGTTAGTTTCACATTATAGTTGATGAAAACGTCTGCAATGGTTGAGGCCACTGAGCCTCTACCATATTCTAGGCACGATGACAATCAGAGAAATGAAGAAAATGTGGTGTTGACTTCAAGAAGATAAGACAAGTAGACGGAAACATACAGTAAGTATGAGAAATGTCAAACACCCCAAGGGGATGCTTCACAGAGAAGAGGGGTCGCGATCGTTGGCAGATTTACAAGAGGATGTGACTGTGTTGGCATTAAGGATGATGGATTTCCCCAAGCTGAGATGGCAGGGAAGGACATTCCTCATAGAAGGAACAGAATGCCAGCAAGGAGGGGTGCCCTGAGTCAGAAAGAAGAGTGGACAATGCTGAATCTATCTGGAGTGTGTTTCAGCACTCCAATTCACAAATATTCTAATAAATGCAGAAGCCTTATTAATTCAGGAAGAGCTGGAAATTCCCGTCCTCTCCTACTCATCTTTCAGTTAGGCCAGGGACAGAAAGTTAGCATGGTATCTGACTGAGAAGTCACACAGCTTAATCGTTCAAACTATCAACAGAAAGAATTAAAGAAGCACATGTTGACAACTGTCTGCCCATCAGTCACACCAAGCAAATATTTACTGAGCACCTACTATGTTCAAGGCAATGCATTGGCAGTTTCAGTTCTGTAAGCTGAAAAAAGTCTGGAGACTGATCAAATAATAATGTAATACAGTTCATGCTACTAAAATGTACACTTAAAAGTGATTTAAAATGGTAAATTTTATGTCATGTGTATTTTTTTCACAAATAAAAAAAGATATATTTAAATAATGAATGTTCTCGTCTAATTACAAATTTCCCCAAATCTGGTATACCTGCCACTTAGAGCTGAGTAAGGTTAGGATGTGAGTCTCTAATGTGTTATCATCCCCTGTCAATCCTCAACTCCTGTCAGACCTGTCTCCACAACACCCTGCTGAGACTCTCGTCCCCCATGACAGTGATCCAGACCTGAAGTGAACTGGTCTAAAGATCTCTGGGAAATAAAAACAGACAGAAAAGGGCTACCTATGCATGCTCCCCTAAAGATCTTTAAGCTTTCTTACCTAATGTTTAATAATAATTTAGTTCAGGTATAAAAGTACATTGTTGGCATTAAGAAAAACCCAGAGCGAGTCAACGAAGACGCAGCACATGCATCTGTAGGTTCCTAACTTCTACCCGGCCCTCACGGGAAACACCAGTTCACTGCTCACTCACCACCCACTCTGTAGACTGGGGCACGCAATCAAGTACTCTGGTTAAAGCAAAAACTTGTTCCTCCCTGACTTTTTCTGGCTTATACTCCATAATTTAATTAAGGTCAATTAGAGATTAAAATCTGCTGACGATAATTACAGTAAGCACAACCAAGTCTCTGTATCTCACGGAGCCTGGGGAGCCTACTAACACAGTGAGGGGCTGACACACGTCCTTACTTGCACAAGCGTGTCCAGAGTGAAGATGTGCTCCCCGCGGACATTGTAGAACTTGACCATGGCACTCTTCAGAAGAGGGCCGTTGGGGAGCTCACCAAGCTGGGTCTGCCGTTCCATCCCAGCGACGGCCAGGAGGTCTCCCTGGGTGCACCACTGGGCCACCACCTCTGAAATCACAAAGACGACGGTCAGCATGATGACATGACCCTCCCCGAACTTTCAGTATTTAGAAAATAAAGCTGCTGAGCAAATACAAGGTGGCTCTTCTCCTTTTTCTCATGAAGACAACAGCCACCCATCTGTCTGAAGACAACAGACTCTATTTAAACAGGGGTCTGTTGCCTTGATGGGGAGTGCAGCTCCTCTGAGACACAACTCTGCCAGGTAAAAGCACAGCCGCCAAAGCCAGCACGCTAAGGATCGAACCCCGAAACCAGCATGACTGAGAGCACAGGTAAGATGACCCAACCAAGGACTGTCCATCCATGGCTTGTGTCCCCGACCCCAGAAGTGACTCTGGAGTTTACAGATGCAGAAAGTAGGTCAAGAGCAAAGTCCAGATTTATATTCATTTGATTTCTGTGCACTAATGGGCAGATAAAATTCAGATAAAGGACATAACTGCCTACAAGGCCCCTGATTTTTCTTCCACATTGAGATGTTGTGGGGGCTTAGAAAGTAGATAAACGCTTCTGGTGTACGGAATTTTCGGAAATTTGTCGGAAATTTTCACCCTGGAGATGTGACGCCCACCCCTAAGCCGTTCTGTACCTCTGAGAAATGGCTGTGAACTGGTTTGTCTAATCCCAACGTGAGCAATTTACTCACTCTGACGGCTCCAACAAGCTACTCGCACTAATAAGACTTACAGCACAGTTCATCCCCATTAGACCCGAGGACCCCATCTGGCTCACACAGAGATGACTGAAATCCAGAGCTCAGAGGCCTCTCTGAGCAAGGCTGGCTGGAGCCTAAAGGTGCCCGGTCATGACAGGATACGCAGCAGAGCCAGGTCTAGAAGCCAGCAGTGCCGGGGCTCGGGCAGGTCACACGTGACCCTTCTCTTAGTCACATCGCCTTCTGAGGTCACCAGCACTCCCTGACTTCCTCGGAAGCCCGGACAGTGGTCCCCAGCACAAGGCAGCTCTCCAGACCCAGGGAAGCGAAAGCCTGAACACCCAGGGAGCCGCCAACAGGAGCCGGGGCCGAGGGAGCAGAGGGCTGCGAGAAGGCGTCTGCACACAACCGCGGAGTGCAACGACTCTGCCATCAGACAGAGGGAAAGCACCAATAAAGAGTTTTTTCCTTTTTCTTGCAAAAGGACACGAAGAAGGTTAAAGTACAAACCAGGAAATGAAAAATCACTTCAAAGAATCAACTAAATATCCCGGTGAGTAAGATGGAAAACATGACGAGAGGAGGAAGCTGGAGGATGTGTGCTCGGGAAGCCCACGGGGGCTCGGGGCTCCACTGAGAAGCCAACCGTGATCACCGGGCTGAAAAGACCTTCTCCGGGGGACAGGTTTTGGGAGCACAAGAAGTCAACGAGAGCAGCAGCTCACGCTGACAGGTACAGACGACTGCGGCCCAGAGGCTGCCATGGCTCAGGACTAAGCCACACCGTGGCTCTGTGCAGGTGAAGAGGCCGGGCTCCCACTCTCGAGGCTCCTCTGCCAGCCTGCTCTGGTCAGGGGACAGTGACAGCCCTGTGACAGCCCTGTAGCACCTCTCTTGCTAGTTACTTAGTTTAGTAAGATTCTTTGAATTTTGCCACTCTGTGGTTTTTCCCAACAGAAAAGTGGGCTGCTGCCCCTGCAGGCCTGGCCCGGACATGCAGTCCATTCAGAAACTGCTCGAAGAGGAAAGGCTCTGCCCCCTACGCCGGAACCCTCAGTCCCCGCTAAGCCTGAGTCCACACGTCCCCACGGAGTGCAGTTATCAAGTTCTAGGGAGACAGCAGGAGTCCCCACAGGCAAGCTGTTCTTTAAAAGAGCACAAATTCCATAGGAACAACTCCACTTCTTGTTCTGCTGACAACACAACCGTACCATCAAGGGCTGCGGCCCAGTGACATGCAGCATAAGCCAGTCAGTCCTGCTGCACACGATGGGCACTCGGTCACCAGGGAATATAGGTTTACTTAGAAAACCCTGACACAAAGAACTCAGGAGTGGGCACAAGAACGCAACACTGCAGACAGGTCAGTGTCAAGCAGGGATGTGCGAGTACTTCCACGGGGGCTAAACTCCGAGGGCAGGAGTTCAAAATCTGTATAAATTACTACAGAGCGAAAGGAAAATTGCCTATTTATTCACTGTCTAGATTTTACTAGGATAAAGAAACAAGAACATAGAAACATAGATATGGTCAGGACAAACCCTTCCTATCCTAGAAAGTTTTTGTAAGCTATACCCATCTTACGTTAGACTAGAAAATAACCCCAAATACATTTGCCCAATCTTTTGGTAATAATTTTATAATTTTAAAACCTTTAAAAACTTGTTTTAAAATATAACCCAGAAAAATGGGGCACCTGGGTGGCTCAGTCAGTTAAACGTCTGCCTTCAGCTCCAGTCATGATCCCAGGGTCCTGGGATTAAGCCCCGTGTCGTGTGTCGGGCTCCCTGCTCAGTGGGGAGCCTGCTTCTCCCTCTGCCTGCCACTCTCCCTGCTCGTGCTCTCTCTGTCATATAAATAAATAAAATCTTTAAAAAAAATTTAAGCCAGAAATAAAGAACTAATGCTTTATTTAGTAATGTTTTTTTTTCATGTTTCCTGAAGTTCTTAGTACAGCATCTCTAGGGATATAGGGAGTTCCAAGGCACAAAAGAGGTCCATCCTCCTAAACTACCCATTTTTTTGCGATTCTTTTTTAAAGGTAATCTCTACTCCCAACGTGGGGCTCAAACTCACACTCCCGAGGTCAAGAGTCACATCCTCGACTGGCTAAGCCAGCCAGGAGCCCCTTTCTTAATGACTTTGAGGTGTTTGTGGAATTTGGGTCTCTCAAACATTGCACACACACAAAAAGAAACACAGTCCCACTGTTCTACTTTAGCCAGATAACCTTATGGGTCTTTTTGATAAAAGCCTGGAGCGTCAAAATTTTACATGTATTAAGCAATGAGAAAATTCGGTGCTTTTGTGTTAACAAGAGCCCCTCAGGTGCTGTTAGTGCTGGGTCCAAAAGAGGCAGCCAAGGATTAGTGGAGAAAGAACAGTGCTCTCACCAAACACCACATGTACTTGAGCTGCTGGCTCGAAGTCTGAAGTTCACAGGGGCCTCTGTCCCTTGGATGTCCATGTTGATGATTTATCATTTTACTAATCATTAGACATTGTGTACTTGCATTTGTGTACATGGATTTTGGGTTGAGAGGGAGAAGGTAAGCACATGCACAAAGCAGGAAACTGTGTGATGGTAAAATAACACGTACATTTTTTCCTCTAAAAACAGTGCTTCTTTTTTTTTCTTTAATAACAGTGCTTCCGGTGAACATACTAAGGACAGTATATCAGCGTGTACTCAGGCTGATGGCTACAATGTCTACCAGCCTGAACTACAGTAGACAGGACTGCTGACCAAAACCCCTCTACCTCAAAATCAAAACCTCCCTCTTAACCTTCTCGGTGTGTTCTATGAAGTGACAAAAAGAGGAAATTCTGTAAAACAAAGAAACAAAGCCTAGGGGTTTCAATTCTTTGATCTTAAGACACATGTGGGATGAAATGAACAGTGCCTTTGAGAGCTTGCTTTACCACAAGAGAGGAACTGGTTAGGCCAGAGAATTTCTGAGTACATCACTCAACTGTTTTTCCTTGAAGGGTAGGAGAATAGGACACTTTGAAATATGCCACTAGGATAAAAACTATTTTGAGCTAAAGGCAACTGAGAAGCAGCAGACACAAAGAAAGCTCTCTCCGTCCTCCCTATCTGCCAAAATGCAGGATGTATATTTGGAAGAGTCCCACTCCCCACTGCACCCCCTGACCATAAAGGATAGAAGTTAACCACAGAGGACATCTCTAGACCCTTATCAGCTCACAGACAGAATCAGGAGAATCTACATGACAAACTTCAGGAAGGAGTCCTCTCTCCCACCAGATCCCCATATGCTTACCTTCCCAAATTCTGCTGCCCTAGAAACGTCAAGCCTTTCCCTGTCTTGTCGCTTCTCCAAAAAACATATTATTCTTTTGTTAAGATGCTATAACAGCCCAAGTTCTACCCACCCCTTTGAGTTACTCATCTCTGAACACTTCCACAGGTAAATGTAATGCACATGTTAATATACTTGTTCCTTTTTCTCTCGTCAATCTGTCTTTTGTCAGTCTAACTTCTAGGGCCCCAGTCAGAGAACCCAAGATTTCTAGAGGGAAAAGTATTTCCTCCCTTACATTGTCAAGGAAGAGTATAGTAACAAAGGGTAAAAACCCCCAACAAGGTAAACTAATTTATGGTTCAGTATGTGATAAACAAAAGTCCCCAAAGTTGGGATACTCTGCAGATTTTTCCTCAAGGCAGAATTTCCTCAGCAAATATCTGCAAAGCAAAATTACCCACCACCCTATGAATCTGCAAAGAAAAGTCTGACAGTTGTGGAGAAGAGGCTGGTCATGGGGACTGTGAGCTATTTGCCATTCTGTTATTTTGCAATGACATAAATTACAGCATTGGTGATAAATTAGAAAGTATCATGAGTGATGTTAATTCACTAGAAAAGTTCTCTGATATTTCTTTTGAAACAGTAACAGACAAAGACTAGACCCTTTCAGTCCACTTTATATGACAAGCAACTGACTTGTCCACAATAGGATAGAATCCTGTGGATGGAGAAAGTTGCCACGTGGCATCTTGGCAGCTTTCCGGCTACCTCTTCCCAGTATTTATTAACATACCCACAACGCAGTGAACAAAAAAACAAATGGGTTTAAAAAAAATACTGCTGTTGATACTACAAGTAAGACCAAGTCCTCATAACATTCTGAAACCAAGACAAAGAGAAAATGCCTATACCCAGCCCCTGTCACATGACGCCGACTCACTTAAATTTCATCTAGCTTCTTACAGTGAAGAAGACTGTCCAAAAGCCTGTCACTCATGAAAGTGTAAGGTTTAATAATAAGGTCTAATATTTTCATGTTAGATTTAGATTTCTAGTCAGGCAATGAAAAGAATGCTAAATCTGACTGTTTTTAGGATAAAACTCAAGTCAAAAACTTGCACATTTGGGAAGGTCACCCCAGGTCACCTTCATAAGCCACCTCATATGTGTGAATCTTCCAGTGCACACTTGGTGGGGGTGTGCTAGAAGTACTACTCTAATACAATTTAGTTTGAAAGACAGAAAACTAATGTGGCCAAGAGAGAAAAAAATAGTTTCCATAGGCAAGTAGGATGGCAAAGAATTAGAAAAATTTGCTATATAAAGAATACTAAAAGAGGAACTGAGTGGTAAGTATGCTATTTTCAGTCCTGATCAGATACTCAGTAGGGAAAAAGGTCAGGACTCCAGATTAGAGGCAAGTTCTGATGAAATTAATCAACTTGGTTAAAGGTTTAAAAATAGTTTCTTTTTTGGTTTGTTTTTCAAGGTTTTATTTATTTGAGAGGAGAGGGGCAGAGAGAGATGGAGAAGCAGACTCCCCCAACACAGGGCTGGATCCCAGGACCCCGAGATCATGACCTGAGCCAAAGGCAGACACTTAACTGACTGAGAGCCCCCTAGGCACCCCTGAAAACAGAATTTCTGATAAAGAAAAGAAGAGCTTGGATTACGAAATATATGTGAGAATTTCTGATGACCATACCTGCATTTTAGCTCCACAAAGCTCACAACTTTCAGAAAGGAACACAGAAAAGAGCAAGGAATTTAAGTTCATCATCTCACATGCAAAAAATACTTACTCAGCTTCTAAAGGAGCCCATTTGTGGAATAAAGAGGGACTTCTACATAGTTCATGTCCCTCAGGAGTTTATAGGGTAAATAATTCCTTACAATTACAGTTTTGAAACAGCAAAATGGGACACCCATAAAAGGGAGCAGAACTTCTAAAAATATTCTATAGTTCTGAGACGGCTGGGTGGCTCAGTTGGCTAAGTGTCTGCCTTTGGCTCAGGTCATGATCCCAGAGTCTTGGGATTGAGCCCCACATCTGGCTCTCCCTCTGTCCCTCCTCCAACTCATGTTCTCTCTCTCTCTCTAATAAATAAAATCTTTTTAAAAATTCTAGTTTTAAAATAGAATTATTAAGTGCTTGAGTGTGTACGGACATGTATGATGCATTCCAGGCAATCAATAGTTAAGTATACGGACTTGAGTCTCCCTATCCCTGTGATTCATGAATAATTCAGACAAGAAGCACATGACAGGACTCTCTGGTCTGACGGCCAGTTCTGAATGACAGCAGGAAGTTGAACTGCAGGTTCTGGTTTGCCCTTTACCTCTCATTCAGATTAGAGTAGGCCCCTTTAACTTGAGACCAGAGGCAGTCCAGAAATTTCTACACTGCACCATTTAATCCTGAAGACAGAAAACGGTTTTCCCAAAGAACTCATCAGGGTCACAAAATGAGTAAATATTCTCAAACTGCAAAATCTGGCAAACACCAAATGCCCACGGACAGCGATTTTTCTCACGAGATAATAGATTTCATAACATCTGTCAGGAAAGTGTCAGTACTCAGTGGCTGATGTTTTACATCAGTGTCTCAGTCTGGCAACGGTGGAAGCTCCACAGTCTGCTGAGGTAACTTTACCATGCAACCATCAGCTCCTTAATAAGCCTCAAAATAACAGCGGCCTCTGCGAAGCTGTGCCGCACACGGTCTGCAGCCTCAGGAACTGCAGGTGCTGAGGCCCGATGCTGTCCAGACAGAGAACGTCAGCCAGAGGCAAACACCACACACCTGAGAAAGACCACTCTTGTCAGAGCAGGGAAAGAACAGAAAGCCAAAGACGAATCCCTCCTCGCAATAAGCCTGGGTATGGCCTTGGCAGGTAGGCAGAGGAGGGAAGGAAATGGCCTTCATTCACGGACTCAATGAAGCCTGGGAGAGGTCACTGCAGAGGGATGGGAATGGATAACGACTGGGTGTAGGACCCCCATTGGAAGGCAAATGCACACAGGGCTGAGTGTGGGTCTGGGGTCCCATGCGGCCTTCTGTACCTTTCAGCCCTGAGCGGATGACAGTAGGAGACAAGTCATCGTAGTTGTTCATTAAGCTGATGTCCCCCGAGGTGAAGCTGACGGTGAGCAGTGGCTTGATGTTCTGCACCGGGATGGGATACGCTGCTGGTCCATCTGCCGGGACAAAAGTGCCGAGTGAAGAGGCGGCAGGCGAACAGGACCCCCATCTGGGCGCGGCTGCAGTCCTGCACACGGCCTGCCACTGAAAATGGGATTCTGGGCCAGGCGGTCACCGAAGACGGCCGTGTTCTATACCACTCAGAACCTACACAAGACCATCAGAGGGCCGCTTGCCAGAGAAGTCTGGAATGAGAAGAAGGATGGCGACAGCTAGCCCTGGACGCAGCAAGGGGGGTACCCTGGGCTCTGTTTTATGGTGGCGAGAATATGTGTGAAAAGATTATTAACTTGTGTGTTAATGTGTCATGTTTCTAATGATGTGTAAACATCAATTATTTTAATGTCATATAATGTGGAAGGATGGTCAAAGAGGAATGAAAATGATTTCTTAATTCTGGCCCAATGCATAAAGAAAAGTTGCTTTTCAACACCAATGCTCTTTCACTGAACATTTTAGGAAATGAGGAGACATAGCAGTCACTCTGAGTCCTTTATTCAGTTTTTATCACAACAGACCCCAAATGTGGAGAAAGGCCAGGGCTGGGTGTGGCTCATAAACAATTCTGCTACATCTGCAGTGCACAGCCAGTATAAAGAAAATACGGCCTTGGAAGTTCTAGGAGTACTCATGGATGTCAAGGAAATGCCGTGATGGGTCATGTTCTGGATTTTTCCACGTTATTTCAAAAGTAAAAGTCAATCCCTCCCACAAACCAGAATAAATCCGGGTCCCCGGAGGCCTCACACCCATGCTGGGTTCACCCCCCACAGCCATCCATCCAGAGTGGAAGGGCCTGATATCCCCAGGTTCATCCCCAACTCAGCCCCGCCTGTGGATGACCCTCAGTTGTTACCTTCCTTTGCTTCACTTTAAGATGCTGTAGGTACCCAACTCTATGCTCAAATTCCCTGGGCCACCAAGAAAAACTCTTCTTTAGGTGAAAGGCAAACCCCAGCCACTTCCAAACTGCCCCATGGCTCATGTTAGAGTAGCAGCCAGGGACTAAATTCTATTCTCGGACTTATTCTGAACCTGCTTCACAAACTTGGCCTCTGGATCTTGTTTCTTCCCATAATACATGGAACTGAGTAACCCTGCTTTCACTCTAGTGAAGTTCTGTTTTAAAAGTACGCTGAAAAGTATCCAATGTTGTAAGACACTGACTTTATTACTATGAGGCTGGAGAAATGATCAACATTTCCCCCAGGGTTACGGTCCTAGCAGGAAAGGGTATGATGGCTTCCCATATGGAAGTCCACTTTCTCCCCACCAAGGCCCGCCCACCCTGAAACAGCACCCCCCATCTACAGTTTCTCTCCTGTACAAACATCGTCTTCTCCCTACACGAATGACTGAACAAGCACGTGTCTGTCTCTGGAAAGTATCACGTACTGGGTCACATCAGGGACAGAAGACAAAATGGGAGCACTCCAAGTACCAATGGAGGCAGATGCTGTTGGGGGACAAAATTAAAGCATAGTCTCGAGACCAGCCCTTCACAGGATGAATATGCCCATGGTCACAGGAAAGGGGGAGAAAATGTCCCGGCCATCACGGGCACTCAGTGAGCAGCGTGGACGCGGCTGTCCAGGCTGAGGGCGGAAGTCCTGAAGCAGTCTGGCCACGTCTAGTCTGCCACAATTCATAATTTATTTTCCCTTAAAAAAAGAGGGGCGGAGTCCTGGGGAAGAGCCAAAGCCACGAGTAGGCCAGTGCTGAATGCTACTGTAGATGATGGCCAGCCTGGACGCTAACGGCTTCTTCTGCTTTTGTGTGGATGTGTGTGTTGGGGGGGGGGTAGCTCTTACATATTTGAGGGATAGAAGACACTGCAAAGGCAAAGGAGGCTGGATTCTGAAATTACCCCAAAAGCCTGAAACCTTCCCTGCCACTCCAGATAAAAAAATGGATGCCAATGGGTCCGGTCTAACCCCACTGTGAGGCTTATGGGGGGAAGACAAGTTCTTCCAAGCTGAGAAAAGAAGTTTTCCCCCAAAATAAAGAAGACGGGGCACGGACAGCAGCCCAGCGTCCTGGGCTGCATCCCGGCAGAACTAATCCTTCCTTGCACAGCTGAAGCTGTGGGCTTTAAGGACACTGGGACGTGGGACACCACAGATGAAGCTGCAGTAACAGCAGAGCGGTTCTCATCCCAGCAATCCGGCGTCCTGCTGAGCAGGGAAGCCGCACAACACCCTAGGGACAGGGGCAGGGTCACGGCACGTCTAGTGAAACCTAAGCCCATGAAGTCTCCTCAGCCTGCACAGAGACTCCGGGAAAAGGGAAGGCAGAGGGGAGGCCGCCGAGTCAAGTCCCAGATGTTCCGCCACCTGCGCCGCGTGTCCCCAGAGCCCTTCCCAGAGGTGAGGGTGCTGTGCGTGCGCTCTCCTGCCCCGGCCCCCGCCGGCTACCTTGGGGCGGGGAGTAGTCGTCCGAGTCGGTGTCGCTCTCGCTGCTGTCCTCCACCAGGAAGGCGGGGTAGTTCCAGGACATGCTGAGGATGCCGTCGGACTCGTGCAGGAGGACGTGGGCCAGCATCCTGCCGTGGCAGTCCATGACGATCACCTGCCCGTCAGCCGTGCCGAACAGCACCTGCAAGCAAGGACCGGCACCCCTGACGGACGCGCAGATGGGCTGCGGTCCTGGCAAACCTCGTCACCCCAACTTGTTCAGAAGGACAAAATGTATTTAGGACTGAGAAAACAGAGCAGTTCACCAGAAACTTAGCTGGTTATTATTGCAAGAATTTTAGTCCTCTAGCACTGAAATGTGACTGATGGCAAAAGAAACACATCTGTCATACTGTGGGGACATGTACAAACAATACCAGCAAAATCACTGCCTCACTTCTTGTGGGTTATTTTTGTTTGCATGCTTGGGTTTTCTGGTTGGAGAACAAGGGTTAAGAAGCTGATATTTTTCTTGAAAAAAAAAAAAAAAAGCAGCAGCAAAGGTTCAGAAAGGATTTCACAAATTTAGAAGAAACACTTCAGCTTTCAGTCTGACAAAAGAGAAAATATATTTGGTTATATAAGCAGCTTATCTAACCACACTTGGAAAGAAGATACTCCTGAAATTGTTTGTCTAATGTTCTATTTAACTAAGAATAACATCGGTATTAATGTATTAATTAGTAATTAATGTTATAATGTACTAACAGTATTAACACAGTCACTGAGTGTTCGCTTCATGCTAAGCACTACGCTAAGAGCTTTACCTCGTGTATTGTCAAAACAGTCCTGGGAGTTAAGTTCCAGCACTGTCGATATGGATCTCAGCTAGGCTGACACCTCAGTGTGCGGAGCGCTGCCGCCCAGAATTCCCCTCACTTCACCTGGCCCTAGAGCACATGCTCAGGAACGTTCCATGGCCAGAGTTAAAGCAGAGGCAGGGCCAAGAAAGGGTTACCCCCAGCCCCCAGACCCCCATCAGGGCAGCAGAGGAGCACCTCACAGCTTCTAGAACCCTGACAGTTGTGTCCTCTTGCTGGTTCCTACACGGATGACACTAAGGGGATGAACCAAGGGGAACCTCAGCAACATGGCAAGCAGGATCTTGTAGAGAACATAGCATGTTCTCTTGTGCTTTGGGGGGTGGGCTCTGTAGCTTCTGTACCTGTTGGCATTTAAACGTTACATCTTTTGTGTTTCCTGAGATCTGTGCATCTGTCAGCAATGACTGTCAAAAAGGCATGCAAATCCTCTCCATTCTACAGACACAGAAACAGCCTGAGCAGTCAGGGCAGCTGACAAGGCCATTAAGCAGGCTATCCTACTGCAAAGACCAGGATTTACACGCAGGGAAAGTAACTTAGGGCTTGTTAGGTCCCTGCCTCTTTTTGCTGTTAACATTTTGTCATTAAGCTCTTTGGGGGCAAAGACTGTCCACGGCTGTCCCTCTGGTACCTAACAGCTTTGGACACAGAGACCACTTAACAGTACTTCTTGTTAAATGAAGTAAAGTCAGTGACCATCAAAAGGCATTTTTAGGACACAAATCCTGATGATTAAGACAGATCAACTGCAAGGGAAGTTCTATTTAAGTAGTAAAAAGCTCATAGAATTTACCGAACTGTTTATTCTAGAATACACTGTCCATCAAATATTTCTTTAAACAGGTCTACATTTCAATGACTGAAAACTAAAAAAACAAGGCTAAATCAGTTTTCTGCAGAGGCAGTGAGGAATCTGTTACTACACTAGTCTTAAAGAAGAAACACACAAACCCCAAACTACTAGGAACACAATGGAACCTTTTACAAGACGGTGAATCTTTGGCTGCCAGTGGAGAAAGGAAGCACCGGCCAGCATGTCACAGAGACCTCCCAAGGCACCGACACAGAGGGACGGGACACCGGGGCTGGGGGTCTGGCGTGCTAAAGCAGGAGGCGGCGCTGAATGAGCTCACCAGGAGGTTTTCACCCGGGATAAAGACGGGCCAGGACTTCTCGTAACTTCAACCGAAATGTACAATGTATATATTTCTTTTTTTTTTTTTTTAAAGATATTATTTACTTATTTGAGAGGTGGCAGGGCGGGGAGAAGCACTCCCGGCTGAATAGGGAGCCCAATGTGGGACTCAATCCCAGGACCCTGAGATCATGACCTGAGCCAAAGGCCGACGCTTCACTGACTGAAGCCCCGAGGTGCCCCTAATTTATACATTTCAGAAGGAAAAGACACGTGGCAGCCTCGCTCTAAGGCCAGTGTCACGCGTGATGTCCCCAGGAAGCAGGCTGTTTCTGTCCCTCTTTCCACATTCTCCCTCATTGCTCAGCTGTGTTTTGAAGAGCGGCCACGTACCTTGGTGCTGGGTGAAAGGGTTATTTTATCATTTACGATAGCCGTTTCCTATAAAGACAGCGCATGAGCAGGCCACGGCCGACAGTTACTCTTCACAAGTACTCTGGATTGATGGTATGTTATCAATCCCAAACCACTTCCAACCCCTCCTGCTACAGGGCCACATTACTCTACAGTCTTCCACCGGTGCAATCCCCACCGTTCTCGTACTTCACTGTGCCATCATTTGATTTCTGTCTGACTTCTATGCTAGCCTATAACCTTTTTGGGACATGGCCTATGTGTGCTCTGCTCACTACTACATCCCCAGGGCCTGTCCCGGTAGATGACAAGTGGCAGTAAATATTTGTGAAGGGAGGGAAGAATTGCTTCTGTATGGAACTATCTGTTGAGTAACGCTCACATTTTTCCATTTTAGAGAAGAACAGATACCAGACAATAGAACAGACAGTTAATTTCTGAGTAAAGGATGGGTGATTTAGTGAGGCATCAGTGTTCAACATTACACGAAAGCCAGCCCCCAAATTCTCCACCATGAAGCAATCCCAGCTACAGCTCTCCTGGGAAGATAATGCATTATTAAGATCAGGAGGAAGGGGCAAAGCAGCATCAGCAGTCTAGTTGTCAAGCAATGATGGAGGAAGTTAACTCTGTTTGGGAACAAGTACGTCACAGATAACTGAAGAACACTGATACGACATGAAATCAGATTTTAAAAAATCTCCTCTGTTTCAAGTTCTTTTCCTGCCTAATCACTTCCAATGAGACAAAGCCTATGCGCGCAAAGGACTTTAAGAGAACAAGAAAGAAAAGTCTAATAATAATGATACATAAATAGGCACATGCATCAATCTCTGCTTCTACTCCCGCATTCTGGAGCTCCCGAAGGGCTGGTGCCGGCTCCTCCTTCCCAGCTCTGTCTCTTCTAAGCTTGGCCCTCGGCTGTCTTCCCTCTCTAGATCACAGTTGTGTCCATGGCCTCAAAGGCCCAGTCAGGGCTGACTCCCTGCTCAGATCTCTTCCTTACGCTCCAGACTCCCACATCGGATATTTCTTACCTGCCACCTACCCCTGGATGCGCCAAAGGCCCTTCAGAACCAACATGTTCCCAGATGAAACGCAGGACTTTATCCTTTCCCCAGCAACACCGCCCGCCCCCCTCCCTGCCCACACACAGAACCAGGTCTTCTTACAGCAAAGCAAAACTGTGACTTGTGTTTTATCTCCAATATCCAGTACGGTGTCTGGTACAGAAAGAGGCTCAGACATCATGCATGAAGGCTTTGGGGACCCACTACACAGAATTATTCTCACTTTTTTGGGGGGGGGATTATTCTCACTTTAACCTGAGCTCCTCACTACTCTCAACTTTGCTGTGTTTTCACACGCCTATCTTTCCCATTAATCCGCGAGCTTCTCAAGGGCAGGCCTGCACCCCAAGTTGTCACATGCTGCCTGTCACAAGCAGATCCTTAGGGACTCCTAGTAAATGTATTTGTGCCCAAACTTCAGCCTTTGCCCTAAGTCTTCCTGCAAATGAAGCAAAAGCTTCTTTCTTTTTTAAACTATAAACCAATGCCCACATCCTCCTATAAAACTGGCCTCCAAAATACTTCCAATAATGGATGAAGTAAATTTCTGTCTCCTATTTTTCCTGCTGTCTTCTCTATTGGATTGCAGGCTTCACATGGGGCTGGGACAACACGCCCTCTGTCCTGCGTACACCGAGAACCAAACAGGCTGGTGGAAAGCTGCGGGCCCTCAGGCCACCCATTCAATGGCTGTCCCTCATTGCAGGCAGTGTTCAGTATCAGTGTACTCCATTCTAAACGATTTTTAGATGTAATTATTTAAAAATTTAACAGAATTAATACGAGTAATTTAAAATGAGCCAAACCATGAGCCAAAGGTGGTATAGGAAGAAAATGTAAAATCATTCAGAACATTTACGTTTGGAACCAGTGATAGTATCTCATCAGTACTTTTATTTATGGAGACTGGTATTCATCTACATTTTTGAATACAGACCATATTGGGAAATTTCAACTATAAAAATACATGCTTCTATACACGTTCACCTCTTTTGTAGTAGAGTTTAACTAGCAGCCATGGGGACTAGTTCCAGAAGGAGCTAACCTTTTTGTCTATGTATTTTGCTTTTGTCTTTTCAGCTAGGGGAGCAGATAACAAAGTGATTATATGCTGCTCCTAGTAACCTCAGCCCCACTGCTGGCAAATGTCTAAACATGCCACAATGGAGAGAGGAACAAAGGGACATACCATGATGTCCCTTTGCTCTCTAGAAGGATCTTCTGTTCAGAGATGCCAATGAAGGAGAACTTTGTTTTTGAAAGAACTCTCTGATGGGAGTTTCAGAGCACTAGTTTTCAAATGCTTTAAGGCTAGATTTGAATATTTTGAAACTAAAGAAACACAGAGTCACTGAAATCAGACTGTTGTAAATGACAGAATTCATCAACCGGTTAACAGAGTATTTCCTGGTTTAAATAAAAAGGATGAAATGTAATTTCACAGTTGACTATAGCAATCATTTTTTTTTTTTAAAGGGGGAAGTGGGAGAGAGTTGGTGGGGAGGGGCAGAGAGAGAGGGAGAGTGAGAATCTTAAGCAGATTCTATGCCCAACACAGGGCTGGACACCAGGCTCGATCCCACAACCCTGAGCTCATGACCCAAGCCAGAATCAGGAGTGGGATGCTAAACCAACTGAGCCACCCAGGCACCCCAGTAATCATTTATAAAACACACTTATTCTGATAAACATGGGAAAG